AGAGTTCTGTAGTCTGGTAGACTAATAACTGGAGTCACACCAGGTCAATCCAGTGAGCACCTGTACAGCAGGACTGTCATGGCTGTATTGCTGAGTTGGAGAAAGGGCCTTGTTGCCTTATCATGTTTGCTACTATCAGACACATCTAGGGACTAGACACTTGACCAGCAGCATATGCCACTGCATGCAGATTCCATTGGGACTGTATTTATGTACACCACTGCTAAGGTCTGGGCCCCAACGTTAGGCAGCTGAAATCTAGGGCATAGGCCTGTTGTTTTAGATAAGCTGCTCTTTATGGATTCATGTCACTGCCTATAGCAAATGGGCACCACAGCAGTAGATCTAGGATTTAGTTTAGTCACCCCTAGAGTGCACTCCAGTAGTATAATACACTGATAGCAGGAAAGTTATGCCAATAGTATTTACCATTACCCTTGAAGTGGTTTGTGCAATTGCTTAATGCTGATTTGCATTTCCCCAGGTATCTAATATAAACAACAAATTCTCATGAGCAATCCCAAATACTACTGAATGTAATCCCTTTAGTGTAAAATCTAAACCATATATTAAAAAGCAGCTCACACTAACACATACTCATGACATGTGCATAAATTCCAATATACGTAACATACAGTTCCACGCTTTCTTTGAATATGTGATTGCTGCTAAATTATATTAAACAATATTAAACATACGTGAAAAAATATATGCAGATGTGAAAAAAAGTCTCTAAATATAAAGTTTTTCTTGAACTTGAAAAAAACTTCACAATTTCATATCTTCATGCAATGTTAACCCTCCACCTCATACACTAGATGTGCCCCAGATGTGGGCTACAAGAAAATGGCCGCCGATACGGCTATATATACTTTCAGAGTGCGGTAGCATCCAATCATATCCCCCTGAGAAAGCCACGTGACCCTGTGGCGCAATGTGTAGGGGAGAGGCTTGGTGATGTCATGACGCTCGCTATTCATCATTACATCCGCACATCTGATGAGTGGAGTTTCCTTTGCTTGTATATACAAGGGGATTGCAGGTTACATATGCGCGTATGTTCGGTGCGATTTAGCATTCATACCATGTGAGTGGCCACTGTTTTATGTTTTTAATGAAGTAATATGTTTTAAAGGATAAAGCACTATTGTGTTTTAATCGTTTTTTGACATGTATGCTGAGTGGAGGAGGAAGGAGTAAAGAGATCTTTGGAGAAAGAGTCCAGTTCCAGGATACACCTGCTAATTCATGTCCATCTCAAGGGACACATGCGTTTTTTGACCAAGCCATATAGTGAGGTCAAAAAACTCCAGGTGAGGGCACATCTGGTGTTTGTGGTGGAGGATTAACATTGCATGAAGATATGAAATTGTAAAGTTTTTTCAAGTTCAAGAAAAACATTATATTTAGAGACTTTTTTCACATATGCATATATTTCCCCAGGTATCTAACTGCTGAGACCATTTCTTTAAATGACTACCACATGATAACTTTATGGACAGTTGTGTTAGATATATATTTTTATATGTACATATTGCCATCCCCTTTGTTTAGTTACAGTATCGTGTACTTCTTTACTCCTTTTAATAATAACTCCTGTTATAATTGTGTGTTGAGTACATATCCTTATGTTCTCATTGGTACAACATCTGCTATCTGCTTAACCTGGTGTGTCAGAGATGACAAGGTTATTCATGGAGTCGAGGCAAAGAACAGAGGCCCCAGACTACCAACCTCCTTTGTGGTGTAGCGTAACAAATAATAATGCAGCCTATCAACATTAATGATAGACCAGTGTTAGTACCTTGGAATTCTTTTCTTTCTCCATCCATGCTTGTAAGGTCCCTTTTCTGTAGCTGAGAATGATCGTGAACTGGATGTTCTGTTAAAAAGCCATAGGTTAATATTAATATACGATAATCTATTTCAGGCAACAAGTCAGTAAGCTATTATTGCTATATAGACAACTCTGCAAAAAGAAGGTTTACCAATTTCCCTGCTTGATACTTCTACCATAGTCCTGTGTAATCATCTGTTGTTATATTCCAGGGAATTGCACTTGTTGAAGTTTTGCTACTCCTTGTCCTTCATCACCAATACAATTAATTTCAAGGCAGGTCTAATTCAGATTGATAGACATAAAAAGCTTCTTAGTACTGACTATTTTTTTTACAACTATTTATTTTTAATTTGAGACAAGGAGCTTGCTGTAGGTGGTGTTTGTGACTAACTCCCCTGCATCATGAGCAGGGGATTCCAGATCACCAAAATACTGTCCAAATTTGATGTGAGTGTTCATTTTATGTACCCAAATCTTTTTGTAACTGATGTGATTAATAAGAACAGATACTTATAGCTCATCCTTTATGTTCCCAGCAGGGACGGACTGACAACTCATGGGGCCCCCGGCAATAGGGGATCATGGGGCCCCTGTGTCCTTGCTCAAACTCAAAAAAGCCTATGAAAAAGGTACCAGGGGCATCTCATGGGGCCCCCTACTGACTCCGGGCCCTCGGGCAGTGCCTGAGTTTTCAAATGGTCAGTCCGCCCCTGGTTCCCAAGCATTAACCTGGAGCTAAAGGGAGTAAAAGAAAAGGGCATATACAATTAATCCCACTTCTCCTGTAGTGCCCCAGATATGATGATCCATTATTATGGATCCCATCTGAGGTTCAATCCTGCTTTTGAACACTAACAACTGAGTCTCTGCAAATATTATCTTACAGATCTAAATGTGTTACTGAAAATGGGGGAAGCATAAAACAAAGGAATAAGCCAGTTTCTTTTGTAATGGTTCATTCTTCCTTTTTCATGGGTCAACTGCCCTTGCATCCTTACTGTCTTGTCTGTATCTGTCAAAGTGACCTGCTGCTCTTTTTCCCTCAAAGTATAGTAACACATAGCAACCAGGGGCGGACTGACAAATCATGGGGCCCCCGGGCAATGGGGGATTCATGGGGCCCCTGTGTCCTTGCCCACACTCAAAGCACACCCAAAAAAGCCTATAAAAAGGTAACAGGGGCATTTCATGGGGCCCCCTACTGACCCTGGGCCCTCAGGCAGTGCCCGAGTGCTCGAATGGTCAGTCCGCCCCTGATAGCAACCATAAAAAAATCTAATCACTGTACCCAGATCACTATGATATTTATTCTAAATAGTTGCTACATTTTATTGTTATGTGAATATAGTCATTTCCCTGTTTTATTAATTAAAGGGTAACTCCACTTTTGTGAGCGAAAAAAAATAGAAAATAAATAATATATAATATAAATTATATAATAATAAAAAATAGCACATACAATTGCCACAAAAACCACATTGTAAATGAATTATATTAAAACTTATGATAACCTGAAAGTATTCCTTACACAGCCCCTGCTCCCTCCCAAAATGTAATTTCCTGCTTGTGTGCCTGGCTCACTGATTTTCCTAGAAGTCTGCACTAAGATACAAGTCATACTAACCATTCCATATCTGCCATCCCTCTCTGCCAAGTCCTCCACTGGCTTCCCATTGCCCAACAAATAAAATTCAAAACATTAATAATAACATATAAAACCATTTATAACTCTGCCCCAAATTACATCACCAACCTTGACTCCAAATATCACCCAAACCGTCCTCTCTGCTCCTTGCACAAACTCCTACTCTCTTGCTCCATTGTCTACTTCTCCCATGCTTGTCTCCAGGACTTCATCAGAGCCTCCCCAATCCTCTGGAACTCTCTAACCCAATTTATCAGACTATCACCTACTCTGCTCACTTTTAGGCAATCTCTGAAACCTATCTCTTAAGCGAAGCCTATCCTGAATTCAGCTAATAATGGAATCTTCTCTTCCTCCTACCAGTCCATCCCCCACAGTTATTACCTTTTGTACCACTAGCCCCTCCCTCTTAGATTTTAAGCTCCAAGGAGCAGGGCCCTCCTAACCCTCTTATTGTATTATATTGTATTGTATTGAACTGTATTGTTGCTGTATTGTCTCCCGTTATATTGTAAAGCGCTGAGCAAACTGTTGGTGCTATTAAATCCTGTATAATAATAATACAAGGTGCGATTTCTCCTGCGCTCTAGGACCCAGGCCGGTGGCGAGTAGATGGAACCAAAACCAGAAAAAGGCGACCACCACTGTATTAAAGGTTGTGCATCTCCAAACAAGGCTGGGGAAGCCCGACCAATACTGCAAAGTGAAACGAGAAGCGCACCAACCTTGTGCATTACCTCAGTAACCAAATTTATTAATTAAAGAATGATACTCACAAACAGCGAATAAAATCAGGCATGTAGTCCTCAAAGGGACTTCAGAGATAAGGAGCCAGCGCGAATCCCATCATGGTGGTAGACACTCAGTACAGCTGACACGTTTCGAAGGCCATGATGAAGAAGGCATGGCCTTCGAAACGTGTCAGTGGACTGATTGTCTACCCCCATGATGGGATTCGCGCTGGCTCCTTTTCTCTGAAGTCCCTTTGAGGACTACATGCCTGATTTTATTCGCTGTTTGTGAGTACCATTCTTTAATTAATAAATTTGGTTACAGAGGTAATGCGCAAGGTTGGTGCGCTTCTCGTTTTTGCTTCACTTTGCAGCAATAATAATACAAGTCAGTTTATAGGCACCCTCTGCCACAAAAATGTCATTCTGGTGAGGAATTTCCAAAGGGTTATTCACTCACATTCGCAAGTCAGTCCCTTTCACAGTCATATTGACACAAACAGGCAGCTTTTCCTTCATTAAAGGTAGCAATCTGCATCAAAGTTTGTTAAAATCCCTGCAATGTACATTGATCACCCAGAGGGACTGACTTTTTTTTTCTCAACAAAAGTGGAGTTACTCTTTAAGCCTGATAGCTTTTCATTAGCTAAAAACATAACATAAATCCAGTACCTAGATTTGATGCTGCAGCATTCTGCGATACAGAAAGATCATCTATGAGAACACCTTGACTTCTGAGCTGTGACTTCAGGCTGTGAATCGCTCTCCATCCTTCTTCTTTCAGCTCTTGCACTTCATCGTCATTTGTCTGAAATGTCAAAAAAACACAATTCTGCTTGATACTTTTTTAATGTAGTTGTTTCATGACAGTAGAATTGCACTTGTTAAATGACCTGTGGGCAACACATGGGAAGAATAAAAAACTTTCAAAGTGCTGAGTGCTGGTTTCATCAGCATTTACTTTACCAACTATATAATATGAAGCCAACAAAGCTAATCCATACTCATAACATACACATAACTCTGTACGGTCTCTTTAGTATCTGGTGGCACAAAAATAGGTAACTGCCTGTCATTATTGCAATAGCGAATATAGCACAATATACACTGACGGACAAATACTAAATTTTCAGGTGCTTTCTGATTGCTCGTCTCGCAATCCGCATAAATATACTGAAAGTGTATTTCTACTTTTGCAGCCAAATTTAAGAAACCCCCACTATATGTTTGTTATTATTATTATATAGGATTTATATAGCGCCAACAGTTTGTGCAGCGCTTTACAAAATGAAGGTAGACATTACAGTTACAATATAATTTACAACAAAAGGAAACAGAGGGCCCTGCTCATTAGAGCTTACAATTTAGGAGTTGTTATGTCTTCCCATTAATATAGTATACCTAAAACAATTAAAAATGTGTATTTAGTACTTATCAAGTTGTTTCTTCAATGCAATGTTATACAAAGGACTCTATAGGCAGCCTAAATTGTTCAGCATAACTTGCTTAACATTGCGCTATCTGAACACTTTAGAGACATTTCTTTTAAAAAGTGCATTACCATATATTATATGTACTCATTTATTGATTTATTTAACCGATTGTTAGGACAGACAGTATGTACATCTAATTTAAAACTGATAATGAAGCTTTGCCAGCACTTTAAAGACGAGGTTAATTACGGTAAACATACCTTCACCCCCAGCCCCCTCTTTAACATTACATAGAAGAGAAAAACTACATACATTCTATTATAGTATTTTCCTGCAAATAAAAAGGTAATCAACAATGTTTTAATATAATTTGAAAGCTATGCTATATGAATAGGAACATGTAGCAAACATAAACTGAGTGTTATTCCAATTTGATTGCAAAGTTTGAAGTGCAGCCAAACTTTTTAGTTTTGGATAGAGTAAAGAAGGGTTAATACCCCTGTGAAATAATTTTTTTTTTACCATTGGGAAAATTTTAGTTCACTTCCTGTCCCAGAGATATAACAGAATTGTCCCAAAGAGAATGGAATTCTCCTCTTGGACAGTTGTTTCCAGAACACGTCCCCATTACAAGGTTTTCCTTTACCTTAGTTTTGGGGACAATTCTAGCATTTTGGATTTCCTACCACTTCCTGTTTTGGTGACAATAGTCATCAGGACAGAGTGGCGAATCTCTTCAATGGGGGCATAGATTAAGACTTGTTTTTCTTCTCCTCTTCTTCTCCACTCTGTCCAAAATTAAAAAAAGGTTTTGTCTGGAGATACACTTACAAGTGGAACAATGTGCTATGTCAATATAATGTAAGTACAAGTGTCATGAATATATTTACTTCAACCCTGGCCTTTGTGTATTTCTTCCAGATCTGTCCATTACTCCAGCATGAAGCAACTCCTTTACTTTGCCAGTCCAAGAAATTCCTGTATTAAAGACCGTGCTCTCTCCTTGTATCTTCTCCCTGTAATTTTCTGAGGGAGGGTGGAGTCTTCTGAGTCTCTCCCACAGCTCTGCTCTCTGCACAGGATATGTGTAGCACAGTGATGATATCACAACTTACCACTAATTCTACAAGGTAATATCTGAATTTGCAAATGCATTTGGTTACACGACGTGGACTTTTATTCCTTGTGGCTATTGAGGAATATATTCATATGAAAGTTTCTGCATCTCACAATGCAGCACTAGATATCTATCACCAGGCACAACCACTGTCGCTTGGGGGGAACATGCCTAGTCATATCCAAATAATGTCCTTCAGAAGAAGGGCATGAATTGTGAAGGTTTTTTTGCTACAGGCCTCAGGGCCTACCCAGTGCACAATTGCACAGCCATTTATTTATTTATTTTTCTTCACTGTTTTGTCACCTTTCCCTTTTGTGTGTGTTTTTTTCTCATTAGGATGGATGGTGTGGGTCCTTGGGCCTGCCCTGAAGTCTAGGGGGAGGATGCATGACTATCGGTTCCTTCCTTCCCTGTTCCTGTGGGGTCTTTCTTCAGGAGAGCTCCCTGACCTAGTACTTGGTGGTCGGCTTCGGCTAGCCACAAGGAAAGGGGTCTGCCAGGCCTTTTGGCCATGTGGACCATGTTGGAAACCCTTTGTCCCTGTCAGGAGCCTTGCGCTTCTGGGAGATCAGGGTAGAGGTCCTACCTCTTCGGGGGGTGGACAAAAGCACACCTTAAGTGTACTTTTTTGTGTTTGTGTTTTTGCACTTGCATGTTTTTTGTACACTTACAGGTTTTAAAGGTAAGATGTGGTACTAGAGGTAGCCTGCTATATTGGTGGTGGGTTACTTGGAATTTTACAGACATATGCCAGGTGTGATTCAAAATAGACTTTCCTCTAGATCTAAAAAAGCTAAAACACTAATTTCAGCCAAGCATAAGAAATGTGATCTTTTCTATAAATTGCAATGCCTGTCTTCTTACATCCAGTAACAGTTGATCCTCCAGTCCCAGAATTTCTTTGCCCACCATGTTCTCCTCTAGTGAATTCACAGGAACCATACTGTGAAGAACAGATACCCAATCATCCAACCCAGGTCCTACATCTGGAAACAGGGATTCAAACACTATGCTCTGTAGTTTTCTGGAAGAACAATGAAGAGAAACAAGGTTTCACTAGTTAAGTATGTATGTTAGTCCTTGAGACAAATTATAAACCCTTTTGTTTGCTACAGACCAATGTGAAACAAGTAAAACTTCTGGGGGTAAGTTGCATTAATGCTTGGATCATTTTTGTGACCAAATTGCCTGTGAATTGTCATGTTCATAGAAGCATTAGGACTGGAGCAAAGAAATTTGTCCAAGTGACTGATCGAATTTAAGAACATTAAATATACTTTCTATGTACATATACGGTAGCTATTACAGATTACCTGTGTGTATCATTTCCAGATTGTGTCTCTGTACTGTTGTATTCCTGAGAATCAGCTTGTATGTCCTTATTCAGTTCATCCATGGCAGAATGCTGCTCTTTTTCAAATACAAATGCAACAGTAAACTTTAAAAGGAATATGTATACAGTATGTATATTAAATATTCTAAATATTTATATAATGAAACTACACAGACTAGTAGCTTAGTCGTGGTCATAGATACCGGTCACAGTGCCACCTAAAGTTAGGACATTGTAACAAACAGGCATGCTTTTCTATCATGTCAGATATCATTTAACGATTTTAGAAATCCATGCATGACCAGATCGGATTTACCATGGTTTAGTGTAGCTACGCTTACTATACCTATTGATTGGGCCATATATGGATGCGGAACATAACCATAACAAAGCCATGTTTGTAAACTAATTTTCAAAGAGTATTTGTCTCACTCAAGGTTGTTATTCACTCCTGAAGGTTGCTATAATTTGATTCTTGTAATAAGTGCTAGTTTCAAAATAGGTATTTCAATAAGTAGAAGTTGCATGGATGCCCTGGAACTAGTACTGGTAATTTAGCCTTCAGCGTTGCATTGAAACCACATGTAAAATTCAATCTGATGGATTCTGTTAATTGCATCCACACTACAGATTGCCCAGTGCAGGAAAGATCTGAATATTGACAACAATAATAACTGGATAGTATATTGGTTACCAATAATTAAAGAAATTTTTTTTTAAAGAGAAATATGGAGGCTGACATTGTTGACGTCTGTTCAGAATGTGCTTGTTGCTTAGCTGTTATCCTGACTCTTTGGCTTTAAAGCCCAGCTCTATTGCTATTTACCATCCTATTTTTTTAGTTGGTCCCCTTCAGCTGGTATTGACTGCAATACTCACTTGCGATCCCATGCTGTCCCTGCACAATACCTCTTCTCCACGATAAGATATCGTCAGTCTTTCAGGTTGAATGACTTCCAGCATAACACAGGTCATAATAAGGAGGACCATAGTGTGAGTGCGGGTGTTATGGACCTGTCCTCCAAAAGGGGTATTGCCACAGCTCCTTTCATTCACAGTTTTCTGATGCAGATAGTGTCTCTGATGTTGTCAAATCAGATTGATCTCTGCATCAGTGAGGATGGCTAGCCCAGGGATGAGTCAAAGTGGAAGAGGACCCTGTGGTATTGCATGACTGGTCTGTATGTATCTGCAAAATGTAGGTATCAATGAACAAATAGCAAAAAATATACACTAGTGGCCACAGGGAAGGGAGGGGTTGGGCTTTAATACTTACTAACCCAGAGCAAGTATGCCCATCAGGAATTTCAGTAAAGTCAGTCGTCCTTTTTGCCAAATTGTTCTGGGTTAGTGACAAAGTATTAAAACCAGAGTGTTGGCATAACAGCCAGACAACTAGCATTTGCAGAATGACAAATCAGCAATACCAGTGTCCATGTTTCTCTTAGGCAAGCATTGCAAAAATGGTGGCTCTGTCCAGGGCCACACTTCTTCCATCTATGTCTTTGCATACTTTGCAAACTAGCAGTCAGAGTACTGTTTCCTACATCAATGCCAAATGCACTTTAAATGGGTATTTAAACCCTAAAACTAAAATTGCATATATTGCAGCTTCCGATCCTTTGGATATATTAGTTTTCTTTATCCAGGTTTTGTTTTCCCTTTATTTTCACCTGGTAATTCTGTAAAAAATACTCTTCCTGTCTCCTTGTGTCTATGCTCATATTTTTCATTGTATCTCTGGAGGGAGCCATGGTTGCTATGCAGGCTGGACTTCAAATACAGTTGCAAGAAAAAGTATGTGAACCCCTTGGGATTACGTGGAGTTTTGCATGAATTGGGCATAAAATGTGCTCTGAACGTCATCTAAGTCACAACAATAGAAGAACACAGTCTGCTGAACATAATACTACACAAACATTAGATGTTGCCATGGTTTAATTGCACATAACATGTAAAACATTCACAGTGCAGGGAGGAAAAAGTATGTGAGGCCCTAGCTTAATGACTTCTCCCAGAGCTAATTGGAGCCAGGAGTGAGCCAACCTTGACTCCAATCAGTGTGATGATATTGGATGTGTTGCTGACAGCTGTCCTGCCCTTAAAAAACACACACCTGTTTTGGGTTTACTGGTTTCAAGAAGCACTGTCTGATGTGAACCATGCCTCGCAGAAAAGAGCTCTCAGAAGACCTACGATCAAGAATTGTTGACTTGCATGAAGCTGCAAAGGGTTACAAAAGTATCTCCAAAAGCCTTGATGTTCATGTGTCCACGGTAAGACAGACTGTCTACAAATGGAGAAAGTTTAGCACTGTTGCTACTCTCCCTAGGCGTGGTCGTCCTGTAAAAAATGACTGCAAGAGCACAGCGCAGAATGCTGCATGAGGTAAAGAAGAATCCCAGAGTGTCAGCTAAAGACCTACAGAAATCTCTGGCACATGCTAACATTTTTTTTGACACATCTACAATAAGGAAAACATTAAACAAGAATGGAGTACATGGGAGGACACCACGTTGGAAGCCATTGCTGCCCAAAAAGAATATTGCAGCACGTTTGAAGTTTGCAAAAGAGCACCTGGATGTTCCACAGCACTACTGGCAAAATATACTGTGGACAGATGAAACCAAGATTGAGTTGTCTGGGAAGAACACACAACACTATGTGTGGAGAAAAAAAGGCACAGCACACAACAACATCAAAACCTCATCCCCACTGTGAAACATGGCGGAGGGAGCATCATGGTTTGGGGCTGCTTTGCTGCCTCAGGGCCTGGACGGATTGTTGTCATTGATGGGAAAATGAATTCCAGAGTTTATCAAGACATTTTGCAGGAAAACGTACAACCATCTGTCCGCCAACTGAAGCTCCGCAGAGGATGGGTGATGCAACAGGACAATGACCCAAAGCATACAAGTAATTCAACAAAACAATGGCTGCAACAGCACAGAATACGCCTTCTGGAGTGGCCCAGTCAGAGTCCTGACCTCAACCCGATTGAAATGCTGTGGCATGACCTTAAAGAGAGCGATTCACACCAGACATCCCAAGAATATTGCTACACTGAAACAGTTTTGTGAAGAGGAGTGGTCCAAAATGACTCCAGATCATTGTGCAGGTCTGATCTGCAACTACAGGAAACGTTTCGTTGAGGTTATTGCTGCCAAAGGAGGGTCAACCAGTTATTAAGTCCAAAGGTTCACATACTTTTTCCTCCCTGCACTGTGAATGTTTACATGTTATGTGCAATTACACCATGGCAACATCTAATGTTTGTGTAGTATTATGTTCAGCAGACTGTGTTCTTCTATTGTTGTGACTTAGATGACGTTCAGAGCACATTTTATGCCCAATTCATGCAAAACTCCACGTAATCCCAAGGGGTTCACATACTTTTTCTTGCAACTGTATGTCTGCCTTTCTTCATCTCCATTATATAAGGGGTTGATGGGACTAGTAGCTTGCAGAAGACAGGTTCTTTTGCTTTCTGACAAGCTGCAATATATTACATTTTTGTTTTTGGTTTGAAAAATGGCTTGTTCTATGTCATTACTGAACGAAAATCTGACATTGTACAAGAAAATGAATTTTGCTTATCAGAATGAAGTACCTGGGAGATCTCTGCGGACCCTAGAGGGGAATATGTCACTGTACATTTGCTTCATGAACTGTGGGATGGTCTGAGTGAAGAATAAAAAGTCCATGTTTGTCCGCAAAGAGTCCTCTGCTTTCCGTAGCAAATTTAGAAGGATCTGAAGATAGGATCGAAGTTCTGAAATAATGGAAGGCAGACGAGTAAAAGACAGCACTGCATACTGGTGACTTGAAATCAGACAAGAAACTTTTACATGCATGGCTTATTAACATTTCTCAGACGCTAACTCACTCAGTGTCCAGTTTTATTTCAGCAAAGGTAACCAGCAGCTGTCCCAAGGCAGTTATTTTTTTTAATGGCCATGAAATATATATTTATAGCCTTCCCATATTTGCAATGCATTTTAAGATAATGTCTATTAACTGTGCCTAAATTATTGATAATGGCTGGGATTTTCAAGTACAATATCTATGCTGACTATAGAATTTCTTGCTCATAAATTACAAAGAGAATATAATGTAACAATTAACCTCAAGGAAGAACAATCATTAAAGTAGGTCCTTACTGTGTCACTCTGCATACACCTTGAAAAGGGCTTAAAAGATAAGGCAAATATTGAAAATAACATATGAATTAAAAAATCCATGAGTCATTTGCTTTTGCCACCTCTTTTATAAAGAATAGCTGAATGTTTTACACTTCACATCCAATAAGATTAAACCCCTTAGTTATGCTTCTGGGTCTAACCAATTATTTTACACTAACAGGAGCTACAACCATGCATAAAATCAAGCCAGTATTAAATCTCCCATTTGAAAACAGAATTAACATCTACAAATGCATATTTAATATTAAAGTAACAAAAAATAATGGTAAAAATGAGAAAGTAAATTACGCACTGACGGTTAACTGAGAAATAATTGTGAGTTGTTAGCTGGTGAGCAACAGATAGATACATTTTTTAAAAGAGAGATAGAACAAATAGAAAACTGAGTTTAAATGTCTTTGTAGCTAAGTCTTTTTTTAGATTGAATATGAATAGTTAGAACCCCAGTCTATTTTTTTTATGCTGTCTGTACCCCATTTGGGAGTTTTACTCTTTACTTTCTGTCCTGGAGATCTCTCTGAAGACAGTTATCACTAAAACAGGTGTCCCCACTGGAAGATATGCCCTCACCTCCTGGTTTGGTGACAGCCATAACAGTTTGGATTTACCGTAATGTCTTCTCCAATATAGTGGTCACCAGACAAAAAGAGAGGATGTCTGTGGGATACAGGCAGCAGTAAACACCTGACAAGTGTTCTATTTTATGTTACATTATGAAATACATTGTAAAAAACCATGCTATTGCCAATGAAATGTGTAAAGAAACTTCTTTTTCTGGATGCATTTAACAATTTTGAGCCATCTGCCTGAACTATAAGCTAGCCATAACAAGTCAAGGAACATCTTACAACTTTGTGTAATCAAACTGGCATTTTATGTTGTCCGTTGTTCATGTAACAGATTATGTATTTAATTATATGATTCTGCGTAGCTGTTATGGAGCTTAAACTTGCTTTATTCCATCATGATTAGCAGGTCTTACATCTATGTAAATTTGTATAAATGTACAGCTTTCCTTCCATCTTTTTGTCTCAACTTCTACCTTGTCCTTCCTTCCAGTTCTCTTTAGTATCACCAAATGTTTTGGATTGGTCATCAGTTTAATGCATCTTATATTTGCAGTGTGTATGGTAAATCTGCATACTATACAGCATTTGAATTCTCTGGTGTGTATGCTGTTTCACCTTAGGTCTTCTTAGGTGGTTGTTGGATACTATGTCATAAAACACACAGAAAATAAGTTGCAGGAGACCTAAACATATCATAGGTATATTGCCAAAAGTATTGGGACACCTGCCTTTATGCACACATGAACTTTAATGGCATCCCAGTCTTAGTCCGTAGGGTTCAATATTGAGTTGGCCCTCCCTTTGCAGCTGTAACAGCTTCAACTCTTCTGTGAAGGCTGTCTACAAGGTTTAGGAGTGTGTCTATGAGAATGTTTGACCGTTCTTCCAGAAGCGCATTTGTGAGGTTAGGCACTGATGTCGGATGAGAAGGCCTGGCTCGCAGTCTCCGATCTAATTCATCGCAAAGGTGTTCTATCGGGTTGAGGTCAGGCCAGTCAAGTTCCTCAACCCCAAACTTGCTCATCCATGTCTTTATGGACCTTGCTTTGTGCACTGGTGCGCAGTCATGTTGGAACAGGAAGGCAGGGCTCAAAATGTAAAGTCCTGAGCTACTAGCCAGGACTTAAGAGTTACTCGTCACCAGTTGCCCAACCCAACCCCTACCCTGCCCAGCCCCTACTTCCACCCCTAAACATGCACTCATAAATTATCTCATGTAATGGCACTGTTAAACGTTTTATGCAGAATGAAGGAAGGAAAGGGAAGAGAAGGGAGGGGAGGAAAGGAAGGAAGGAAGGAAGGAAGGAAGGAAGGAAGGAAATAAATGGAAGGAAGGGAGAAAGGGAGGAAGGGGTGGAAGGAAGGAAGGAAGAAAATAAATGGAAGGAAGGGAGAAAGGGAGGAAGGGGTGGAAGGAAGAAAGGAAGAAAGAGAGGGAGGGGTGTAAGGAAGGGAGAAAGGGAGGGAGGGGTGGAAAAAAAAGGGAGAAAGGGAGGGAGGGGTGGAAAGAAGGGAGAAAGGGAGGGAGGGTTGGAAGGAAGGGACAACTGGAGGGAGGGGTGGGAGGAAGGAAGGGAGGCAGCATTGGAAGGAAGAAAGGGAAAAAGGGAGTGAGGGGTGGAATGAAGGAAGGGAGGGAAGGAAGGGGTGAAAAGAAGGAAGGAAGGAAGGAAGGAAGGAAGGAAGGAAGGAAGGAAGGAAGGAAGGAAGGAAGGAAGGAAGGAAGGAAGGGAAATAGGAATGGAAGGAAGGGAGGGAGGGTGGGAGGAAGGAAGGGAGGGGTGGAAGGGATGGTGGAAGGAAGACAGGGAGGAGGGGGTGGAAGGAAGGAAGGGAGGGAGGAAAAGGGAGGGATGGAAGGAAGGAAGGAAGGGAGGGGTGGAAGGAAGGGACAAACAAAGGGTGGGGTGGAAGGAAGGGAGGAGGGGTAGGAGGGAGGGAGGGGTGAAAGGAAGAAAAAGGATAAAGGGAGAGAGGGGCGGAAGGAAGTTAGAGAGGGAGGGGTGGAAGGAACGGGGGGGGGTAGAAGGAAGGGGTGGAAATAAGGAAGGGAGGGAAAGAGGAGTGGAAGGAAGGAAGGAAGGGAGGGTGAAAGGAAGGGTGGGAAGGTAGGGGGAGGGGTGGAAGTGGAAGGAAGGAAGGGAGGGAAAGATGGGTGGAATGAAGGGAGGGAGAGGTGGAAGAAAGGGTGGGGGAAGGGAGGGAATGAGGAGTGGAAGGAAGGGTGGGAGGGAGGGAGGTAGGGGTGGAAGCTTGGGGATGGGATGGAAGGGAGGGAGCGGTGTGGAAGGAAGGGAGGGGTGGAAGGAAAGGAGGGAGGAAGTGGTGAAAGGAAGGGAGGGAGGGAGGGATGGTGGGGGAAGAGAGAGGGAGGGAGGGTGGAAGGAAGGAAGGAAGGGAGGGGAGCAAGGGATAGGTGGAAGGGAGGAGGGGAGGGGTGGAAGAAAAGAGGGGAGGGTGGAAGGAAGGGAGGGGTGGGTGGATGGAAGGAAAAGTAGGGGGTGAGTGGAAGGAAGGGAGGGGTGGGGAAAAGGAAGGGAGGGGTGGGTGATTGGATAGAAGGCGTGGGTGGAAGGAAGGGAGGGATGGAAGGAAGGAGGGGAGGGGTGGGTGGAAGGAATGGATAAAGGAAGGTATGAAGGAAGGGAGGCGTGGGTGGGTAAAAGGAAGGAAGGTAGGAATGGATGGGAGGAAGGAAGGGGTGGTTGGAAGGAAGGAAGGGGTGGGTGGAAGGAAGGAAGAAGGCAGGAAGGAATGGAGTGGTGGGTGGAAGAAAGGAAGGGAGGGGCTCTGAAGCTGCAGGGACTGGAATGTGGATGGGCACAGGGGGAGGGAGAGCAGACCCAGCCTCTCATCCTTCTCACAGAGCAATCAGGTCTGATTGGTGCAGCGGTGGGGGCAGTTACAAGGACCGATCTCCTGTATGTCTTTCAATGAAGCAGATGAGAGCATCGTCTCCTCTCCCTTCCATGGCTTTCAGCTGCTTCATTGAAAATCATACAGGAGATTGGTCCTTATCACTGCCCCCAGCGCTGCCCCTCCCACACACCCCTAGGCCAGTTGCTGCTTGCTTTCACCTTATTTCCACTCGTCCAATGAGAATGGGCAAATGGAAATTTTGAGGGCTGAAATTGAATTGGAAGGGGCCATCCCCAAACTGTTCCCACAAAGTTGGGAGCATGAAATTGTACAAAATGTCTTGGAATGCTGACGCCTTAAGAGTTCCCTTCATTGGAACTAAGGGGACGAGCCCAACCCCTGATAACAACCCCACACCAGAATCCCCCTCTACCAAACTTTCCACTTTGCACAATGCAGTCAGGCAAGTACTGTTCTCCTGACAGCTGCCAAACCCAGACATGTCTATCGGATTGCCAGACAGAGAAGAGCAATTTGTCACTCCACAGAACACGTCTCCACTGCTCAAGAGTCCAGTGGCAGCATGCTTTACACCACTGTATCCGATGCTTTGATTAGACTTGATTATGTAAGGTTTGGATGCAGCTGTTTGGCCATGCAAACCCATTCCATGAAGCTCTCTATGCATTGCTGTAGTGCTAATCTGAAGGCCACATGATGTTTGGAGGTCTTTAGCTATTAACTCTGCAGGCAGTTGGTGAATTCTGCGCACTGTGCACTGCGCACTTCAGCATGCGCTGACCCCACTCTGTCATTTTAAGTGGCCTACCACTTTGTGGCTTAGTTGCTGTTGTTCCCAGTTGCTTCCACTTTGTATAATACCACTAACAGTTGACCATGGAATATTTAGTTGCAAGGAAATGTCACGGATGGACTGCACAGGTGGCAACCTATCACGGTACCAAGCTTGAATTCACTGAGCTCCTGAGAGCGACCCATTCTTTAACAAATGTTTGTAGAAGCAGTCTGCATGCCTAGGTGCTTGATTTTATACACCTGTGGCCATGGAGGTGATTGGAACATCTGAATCCAATGATTTGGAGGGGTGTAAATACTTTTGGCAATACAGTGTATATACACTGCTCAGCATAAATGAGTACATCCTGTTTACAAAACTGGATTTTATAGAACATTTGTTTAACTCATTACATGAAAGTAAGGTTAATAATAAAACTGAGATTACAAAATCTTCAGTTTTTCTCAAATTAGTTGATGCAAAAATGAATACATCCCACAACAAAAACTACTACATCTAGTATTTTTGTATGACCTCTATGATTTGTAAGGACAACACCAAGTCTTCAAGGCATGGATTGAACAAATTGGCAACATATTGTAACATCTATCTTTTTCCATTCTTCAAGAACGACCTCTTTTATAGCCCGGGTGCTGGATGGAGTGTGATGCTCAACTTGTCTCTTCAGAATTGCCCATAGTTGTTTGATTGTGTTCAGATCAGGAGACATACTTGGTCACTGAATCACTTTCATCTATTCTTCTTCAGAAATGCAACAGTGGCCTTAGATGTGTGTTTTGGATTATTGTCATGTTGAAAAAGTGCACGACGACCAAGGGCATGGAGAGTGATGGTAGCATCTTCTCTTTCAATATAGAGCAGTACATCTGTGAATTCATGATAACATCAATGAAATGCAGCTCCCCGACACCAGCAGCACTCATGCAGCCCTACAGAAGAGGACATTGCCACCACCATGTTTTACTGTAGGCACCATGCATTTTCCTTTGTACTCCTCACCTTTGTGACGCCGAACAGTTTTGCAGCCATCAGTTCCAAAAACATTTATCTTGGTCTCATCACTTCAGAATACATAGTCCTAGTAGTCTTCTTATTCAGAATGGGCCTTGGCAAATTCTAGTCAGGCTTTTTTGTGCATGGGCTTTAGGAGAGTCTTCCTTCGTGGATGACACCTATGCATGCCATTCCTCTGTAGTGTAAGCCATATTGTGTCATGGGAAACAATCACCCCAGTTTGGCTTTCTACTTCTTTAGCTAACTGCAGTGAACTTGCATGGCGATTTTCTTCAACCCTTCTCATCAGAAGATGCTCCTGTCGAGGTGTTAACTTCTTGGATGGCCTGGACGCCTTTGCAAGATGGTTGCAGTTTTATCTTTATTAAATGTTTGTATCACTTTTGCTACAGTATTCTGACTGATAAGTAAAGCTTTGTTGATCTTCTTGTAGTCTTCACCTTTCTTGTATAAAGAAATTAATTTTGTGACATTTTTCTTTCATGTGGTACCATAGCTGACAGCATGAAATGGGAAGGGGTATTCTTTAAGTAAGCCCTTTTATAATCAACTGTCTGCTGGACTCCTGTTTAATGAATAATTAGACTCACCTGTAGTTGAATTCTTGTTGATCAGGATTTTGTGGTCTAAAATTTAGCTTTGCTCCTAAGACTTTCATTGGGGTGTATTCATTTTTGCAACATGGTCTTGAATGAATTTGTTAGGAAAAAAATACTTTGTTGTGTGTGCAAATTAATAAATCTTGTTTTCAATGAATGGCCCACAGTTGTGGGAGTATTTTGTAGTATAGTGTCCCAAAGAAAATCTTGGTACTGAAAGAACAGAAAAGGTTTTCTGTACAAATCTGTTGGGGTATACTCATTTATGCTGAGCACTCTATCTCTAGAGAGAAAGATAATTATATCTATCCATTTATATAAAACTTACCACATCTTCTCTGCTTCTGTCTACATTTCTCCTCTGCTAGCCGTGTACAAGCCTTTGGGTTGAGTGGACCTGGACAGAACTGCTTATAAAAAGAACAGATGGAATTGATCTCAGACTTTGGATTATTTTGCTGAATATCACTCAGCGCACGCAATTCAAGACACGAGGGCTCAAGAGTGGGACTTGACTCTGTAGATGAAAAAAGCCTTTTCAGTAACGGCATAAATCTCTTACCTTTATAGCCAATGTCATTTTCACAGTATGTGCTGTATGTATAATAATAATAATCTACACAAAATACTCTTATATAATATATTCTGATTTATATTAATTCAAATATATTGTAATGCATCAAATTCTGTAATTGACATTTACAGATAACCTAACACAAAACAAACTGCTTACTTTTCATGTGGCTTCCAATCCAGTCAATAAAGGCAGTTACTCTAGTGTATACTCCTGGTTTTCCTTTCTCTCCACAGCCATCACCCCAGGAGGTGATTCCATATAATGCATATTGCTTAGATGAAGGATCCTGGCAGGTCAAAGGTCCTCCAGAGTCTCCCTATAGAGGAAATCATCACATTAGATTACTGTTGATTAGCTCATCAAATTAATTGGAAACTTTGAAAAGAAAGTACGCTTTGACTTTTTAGAAGGCTTTCTTTAGAACTTAGTTGTCAGATAGATGTCATGTCGGTGTTTCTTTAGAAATCACAGCACTATTGCTAATCATTGTGCATCATTAGCAAATGCATTTACTTGTTTGTTTGTTTGTTTTTTCATAAAGTACTATGTTCATTTTTTCATCCTTTTTAGTGTCTCAGTGCTCCTGATCTCCAGCCTCTTTTGGCCACTTTCTGACTACATCACCTGCTCCAGCATCAACTGCACATCATTGCTCTGGACTAGCTTTTTTATAGTAACTAGTAATAGTATCCACCAGGAGCATGTGTGATTAGTTCATAATGCAGGTGCACAATTAGCAGTTGTCACCCCATAACAGGAAGTGCCTGAAGAACTTTCATGACACCACCCACCAAGTGTTATTTTAATGAAAGCTGTCTTTTTAAAAAGACTGAAAGCAACTTTTAAAATTATATTAACATGTGTTAAAGCTTATATACAATTTTAGTGATTGAGTTTAGATCTACTGTAAAATGGTAGTAAACAGCGTTATAAAAAAAAATGGTACTCCAGCAGGCTCATGCCATAATGTGCCAGTATGCACCGCATACTAATTATGACAGATTTACCTGAGAAACAGATCCCTCCAGCGGCGTGCCATCACTGCTGACAGGGAATCCATCTTCACCCAGTCTTCCTTCCGGCACCAACTGTTTAAGTGATTAAGTCACGATGACGTCACTCCCAGGAGCCATGGCTACATCACAGCTCACTCATCCATTGAGAATACAGTGTCCAAATGCCGGCGATGTCACCAATTGCTACACATGTAAATATCTCCTAAACAATGCACATTTAGGAGATATTTACTGTACCTACAGGTAAGCCTTATTATAGGCTTACTTGTAGGTACATAACAATAAAGGAAGATTACTACCATTTTAAAGTATATTGCAGAATCTACGATTTACATAATTGTATCACCTCTAGACCATCATTTTAGCCCAAAAAAGTAAATGCTGTTCCTGGATGATACCGTAACCCTTTGGCGCCGGCGCTTCCTGGCCCTTTAAGGGGTTTGTGACACCGGGAGGCGGAACGGGGTTTAAGGTCATATGACTGACATAATTGGCTGTCACAGCGGTCACATGATGGGAAAGGTCTCGCTCGCAAGTAGAGATCAGGACCTTTCCGTGAGGAGCTGGTAAATGCTCCAGCACATTTTGTTTACTTTGGGTATGCAAATATGCGGCCTCTCGGCATTAAGGCCCAGCCAGCGAGAGGCTGCATATTTGCATACTGTCGGTGCCAACAGGTTAAAGAATGATTCCAAGCATAGCTATATTATACAATTACATTGGCCCAGCTTAGATCAATGTAAATATATATATATACTGTATATACCATACCTGGCTGATGCTCCTGGAAGCTGGAAATCACTGAATTAGACACTGCTACTTCAGTGATCTCTACTTCCTTCCGAATCCTGTGCTGAACGTGCGGCCTAATACATTCTAAACACAGGAGGCCATCATTTGGAGAATGCTTGGCATTTTTTGAAAGATAACAAAGTATTCTCTGGTTGGACAAGGTGGAGATTGTGACATCACCTGCTCCCTTCCGGACTTGTCCAATCAGATAACATTTTACATTTATTCAGAAAGTCCAAGCATTCTCTGAATTGTGACTGTGCCGAGTGGCCAACCTCCTGTGTTCAAAAGCAGAGGTGCAGCCACTTGGCACGGGACCCCAAAGAAAATGGAAGTCACTGAAGTAGTGTTGTCTTCCACAGGCATCAGTAAGGTATTGTACATATATCGTTACGTTGGTCCAAGCTGGACCAAAGTAAATACTGTATGTATAATATAGCCATGCCTGGAATTATTCTTTAATAAATGTAATGTAAGGTCTGCTTTAAAACCAGAAAAATATAGGGTATAGAATACTGTGTATTTGATGTAATGAAATAAGAGTATATTCATTACATAGCTGTTTATAAAGCTATGGTATTAATGCATATGCAGTAGATGAACTTTTCTTTCAGTTGTCAAAAAGTGGCCACAAATAAGACTGTGAGTGCTATTTAGAGCACTTAAGAAAACTGCATAGACAGATTTTATTCAAACAGTACAAAATGCTTTTCTATTTTGCAGTTGCTAACTAATGCTGTCATTTCCATAATTACCCTTAACATTGTCTAAAATGTTCACAGGTAGACAAATCCATCTATCCATGCCACTGTAATAGTTTTACAGGTAAAGTCAGTCCATTACCTGGCAAGAGTCAATGCCTCCGGTAAGGTAACCTGCACAGAACATGGTGCTGGTGAACATCTCTTTCCCAAGGGTCCTCATGCAAGATTCCTGGCTCAAGACCGGTACGATGGCTTCCATGACAACATCTGAGGGTGGACCATCTGATTAAAAAGCATTAAGATCATTTTTTCACAAATAAACAATAAAGTAATTTTCACGTATACATTTCTGCATTTCTTCATGGAAAGGGAGACTATAAGGAACATCTATGGAAGAGATGGCTATATTCTGCTTTTGGCCTGAGATTTGACTGGCCCTGGGTACCACATTCCTAAAAAACAAGCTTTATCCTCTTGCAAGACAATACATTTCTCTTGAAAACAAGCAGAATTGTTTATATGGGTCAGTGACATTGACGTCACAATTGACGTAAATCAGTATGTATAAATTACTGTATTACTTAACCACCAGGGGCGGACTGACCATTTGTAAACTCGGGCACTGCCGAGGGCCTGGGGTCAGTAGGGGGCCCCATGAGATGCCCCTGGTACCTTTTTCATGGGCTTTTTTGAGTTTGGGAAAGGACACAGGGGCCCCATGATCCCTTATTGCCCGGGGGCCCCATGAGTTGTCAGTCCGCCCCTGCTAACCACTGAAGGACTTCCTCTTATCTGTGCATTTTACACTCTCATTAATTAATGACAAAAAAAGCTTGCCTCCTTCTTCCTTTTCTACCCAATATGCATCACACACACATAAAATGTCAGTGCTTTTATACAATTGTTACTGTTTTTTCCATGGATAATGTGGTTAGATAATGGTTAATGGCTAGACTAACCTTCATAAAGAGATCCCCATCCAGCTATGTAACAGTTTGTGCCAGGAGCAGGGTCCACAGGTGCTGAAGGCATACACACAGGTATTGCGCTCTCGGACGTTCTCACTTTATTTGTTAGCTCAATCAGGGCTACATCACTGTTAAAGGTCTTCTGGTTAAACTATAATAAAGTATATACAAAATGGGTTTGGTCTGGCTTGCCAAAATTGCTCTCAATAGAAAATAAAACTGTGCTTCTCAACTCTATTTCAAGTATCCTAACATTCCATGTTTCCTGGCTTTTTTTTGCACAGGTCACTAGAATAGTAATTACTATGTGTGTTAAAGTGTATGTATAGCCAAAAGTTTGTTTTAGTTTTGCTTCACTTCTGTTCTGGAACAGGAAATGACAGGAAATCTGTCCAAAATTAGGGGAATCCCTGACTTAAAGAGTTGGCACCAAAACATTTGTGCTCATTTGATGATTTACCTTCAGCCCTTGTTGCGGTAGCAACTCTAAACTTTAGCAAGTCTCCATTTTATGAGTGACATTGGTAACCAGGATACATAGGTAGGTTCCCCTTAAGGGGCACAAAAGGCAAAAATAAACTTGACAGTGAGGTCTAACACCTTACCTCTCTATCCAAAACTAAAAGATACTATATTGCCTTTTGGAATTGGAATTGAGAGACACTAGTCTGAAACCTACTAAATACATTAAATACATCAGTCCATATAGCATAAAAATTTTGACTTTAGACTAAATTTGAACAAAATTCAAATTTAGAATTCCATTCAGCTATAATGAGTTTATTTTGTTCAAAATACAAAACAGTATGAAGACCCTCAATGAATATACAGAATGTTCCTGATTTTTTTTTTTATATTTGCCTCTACATTTGTCATCATTACCCAGACACTTGGAACACAGAGCTTGGTTCAGATTGTTCCTGTCAATTACCCTATCATCAGCTTGTTTTTATAGATTTTACAGATTTTCTTGGCTTTAGCACTATAATACCACACACACAGGATTTTACCTTGTTTCTACCATGTTTTATATAAATATATTGTAATAGTTATTTGCCATAAAAAGATTTTTTTTCCTGAATTCAGACAATGGGCTTCTGCCATTGTCAGTTTTCAATTTCACTACTTCTCTTGGAAGGCTCTATCATTGTATATGACTAATACACAGGTTTAACTCTACCCTGCAGAACCCACAGTCTGTGTTTTCAGCTGTCCTTAACCATCTGCTTCAGGTTAAACATAGAAACACCACAAATTATTCAGCTCTCCATCATTATTGCATAAGTTTATCACTTTTCTTTGAATGCAAAAAGGGACTTTTGGGAAACATTCCAATGCAAAAGCAAGAACCCAGAATTAACGACCTTAAAGACCTTCTTAAAGGTGACCTTCTTCAGTGCAACATATTTATTTGATAGGAAAGTGCTTGATCACTGCCCTCAAAGATAGGCTATTGGCTTATTTTAAGATCACTTTACAAATAAGGAATTAGCTGGGACAATCCTGGTAACAGCTGGTTGTGAGTCCTGTGTAAAGCTTGTGATAGTGTCCCATCTTGTAGGCCACATCACATTTAAGCCAAAGGGGCAAACTTTATTATATCATTCCATGACATAGCTCCAACTGTTTTTTCTAGTTGCATAGACAGTGTTTTTTGGGAAACAAATCTATTTCTCCCTATTTCCTCCACAATTGCTCCTCTTTCATATCTGATGTAGAAATCTGCACTATTACCAGTGCTGAATGTACTGCACTATAAAGTGTTTATATTGCTGTAAAGTTGATGATCAATCTCTAAATTATTATTCAAATGTTCCTATATAAAGAAAGAATAGATAAAATTGTCAAGGTGTTTGAAATGAAAACACATTATAGTTTCCTCTACAGCCACTACCACATCTCCTCTGTCACTTCTATTTACTTCCCTGCCTCCACATTCACCCACCAGAGCAAAGTCTGGCATGAGTTGATTTATCCAGAGCTTACACAGGGCTAATGATCCTCCCATCACCTTCCACGTGACAGCACTCAGGAAGGGTGATTAGCTGCTTAGACAACCAGTGCTGTATTGTAGAAGGAAGCAAAGAGAGTAACATGCTCACCTATGTCCAGATGTACTGATTATTTCACTTTGCTACAGTGGGTAAATGGAGTAGAGGTAGAGTATTAGCAGCACAGGGGGCATGCTATTAAGTAAACCTGTTACTTCTTTGCCATAAATGTGTATGGCAGGGGTTCATTTTATTTCTGTGATTTGTAAATTTTTTTGAACTGCTTGTACCTGTTGGCTCCTTTGAGGATTTCTTAATACTTTTCTTCATGACTTTTCTTCCTTCCAAAAAGTGTGACACACATCTTTGCCTAGATATATTTACACAAAAAGGTATTCCCCTTTCTCACCTCAGAAAGTTGCAAGCTATGCCAATGTCCTTTATTTGTCAAAGTGATTGTAAAGCTTGAATGTTTATTTTTTTTTTCAATTAAAATAATAAACATGTTATACTAACCTGCTCAGTGCAATGGTGTTGCACAGAGCATCCCTGAACCTCCTGTTCCCCATTGGTGCTCTATCCTCCTCTTCTTGGAGTGCCACCATTGGAAGCCACTTACTATCAGGGCACACCTGTGGGTTTTCTGCATCTATAGACTCACAGCATGGCTTAGCCCTGCCCCATCTCTCCTTACAAGATTTTTTTAACCACTTGTCCTCCAGAGGAATTACCCCCCCCCCCCCCCCCCCCATTCCTGACCAGGCCATTTTTTGCAATACGGCGCTGCGTTACTTTAACTGACAATTGTGCGGTCATGCAACGCTGCACCCAAATTAAATTTATGTAGTTTTTTCCCACAAATAGAGCTTATTTTGGTGGTTTTCGATTGCCTGTGCATTTTTTTATTTTTTGCGCTATAGAAAAAAATGTCCAACAATTTTGCGAAAAAAACAATACTTCTGACTTTTTGCTATTAAACATGTTCAGTAAAAAATTTTAAAAATCAAATTTCATCATAAATGTAGGCCAAAATGTATTCTGCTACATATCTTTGCTAAAAAAAAATCCCAATACTTGTAAATTAATTGGTATACGTGAAAGTTATAGCATCTACAAATGGCGGTATAGATACTGGAATTTTTTTTTATACAAGTAAAGGCCATGATCAGCGACTTATAGCAAGACTGTGGGACTGCGGCGGGCATTCTGACACTGGTGGAGACTGACTAATTGTCATTGACATCCCCAGTGACACCAATACAGTGATCAGTGCTAATAAAAAGCACTGACACTGTACTAATGACAGTGGGCAGGAAGGGATTAACATCTGGGGTGATCACCGGTGGTGTGCCGGCGGGGAATCACCGGCTGATCGACAGGTGAGGCCTCAAATACCCAGAAATGCAAAATCACCTATATATAGGTGATTATGCGTACTCCTGTAGCAGTATTTCTGCTATAGGGCGGCGGGAAAACTGTTAACAGCAGCAGGAGCCAATGACTCCTGCTGCTGTCACCGAGTGCTGTGAAGAGAGGAAAAGAAAACGTTGCTGTTGCACTCAGGCACAGTGCTGGATTGATATTGGACTCAGGTAAGTATTTAGGGAGATGAGAGGGTGATATAACCAAAGACTTTTTTACTTCAATCCAGTGTATTATCTTTAAAATGCGATATTGTGACTTTTAGCACAAGCCTTCAATTGTGCAAGTTTTCTACATTGGTAAATACCTGGTTGATCCTGCCATTTATTCTCACTTCCTAATGCTTGGTGGCAACTGAAGACCAACCAGTTCTCCTGCTCAAGTGTTGCCACCCTTGGTGCACATGCCCAGGTGGTGTACTCAGAGGAAGCCATTTAGTTACTATTCCCCTCTGGAAGCTGCCCCACAAGATTTTCTGTGTCAGCTTTAGAGACAGCTCCAGCACTGTTATGCCCTCCCCACCTTCTTTTTTCTGCCCCATGTGATTGGTCATCATTTTACCGGCACAGACCTAACAGGGATGATCTTTTTCTCTCTACTAGCCCCGTATATGATACAAGCTTGAGGGGGTGTGTTCTACATGACGATTGACAGTGGCTCCTGCAGGGAGACTTGCTGCCAGTTTATATACTTCCTATAGTGACATCTCCAGGTGCATCACATGATTATTCCTTGCTCCACCTCCAGATCTCACAGTACGGAGGGGTACGATTTAAAGGTGTCACGTCAGGAATTGAGAACACTTAAGGATTTGAAACAAGATAAAAGGGAACTCTTCATTAAAATAGATGAGTGGAGATATCACCAATTAAAACACTTTGTCAGAAACCTTCCAAAACCGTTGAGATCAAGAAAGGATTGGAATCTGTTTGAGAGGTTGTTAGAAACACGAGGTGACGGGAGACGGGGCACGGCAAAAATTTATAAGACCCTCACTGAGTTAGACACTTACACAAAGCCAATGTATATAGTAAAATGGGAAAGAGATTTGGGAATAGAGATAGATGAAGATAAACAAAGGAAATATATAGATTAATACACGAGAACATAAGTATAAGAGATGTGGAGGTAAATTATAAGTGTTTAACGAGATGGCACATTACACCGAATGTAGAGTATAAGATATTCACTAGAGTGTTGGAGGGGATGTGGAAAAATAGGCACGTTATATCATATATGGTGGGAGTGCCCGAAGATTCAAGGTTTCTGGGAGATAATCGTCCAACTAATTGAGAATATCTCTGGGATAAAGATAGGACTGGACCCAGAAGAATGCCTACTACATAGTACAGAGTCATCAGTAAGTAAATACAAGGACTTGGGTATATGGTGCTATCTGAATGCGGCAAAGGGTTTGATACCTAAGTTCTGGCATAGACCAGAGGTGCCAAAGATAGAGGATTGGGTGGAAAGAACGAATCAAATATGTAGGATGGAGAGATTGTGTTATATGCAGGAAGACAGGATGGGGATGGGGTTGTTCTCGAAGAGGTGGAGAAAATGGGAAGAATTTATGGTGAAATATATGAAGTAACAATGTGAGAAAGATGGAAGTATTTATATATCCTATACTCTAGTTGGGAAAAGAAGTAATAGAACATTGCAGAGTGGGTGGGTTTACATGGGAGGAGGGAGGTTTTATTTAGGTAGGAGGCGAAATTAGGGAGGGAGGTAAGGGGAATAAAGATAGTAAGAAATGTAATTAATGTTATGGAAATGGTTTTTGTATGAGAATAATGATGAAATATGTATTATATATGGAAAATAAATAAAAATTTAAATTAAAAAAAAAATAAAGGTGTCACGTGACAGCAGTGTATGAACTCTTCTAAAAGGTATTTGCGGCTCTTATTTTTCTGCGTAATGCATATATTTCATTTCAATGTGGGAAATGAGGATGTTCTATATGAATTTAGAACTCTGGGTTTAATAACACTTTAAAAGCGTTTTCATCTGCATGCATACATCGAATAGGGGCTTATCTTTGTAAAAACCTTCCATCCAACTTTAATAATGTGAACCTTGAATTATTGGTGACTGCCTCTAATGCCATTTCTTGATTACACTTTTGATTTTATGATTCCATACCTGCTGAAGATCTTTTTACAAGTAGCTATTTTTAAAGTTTCCAATATTATAAACAGTTATGTGATGACTCTTATCCATTAGCATTGTAAAAAATATTAGAACCACTTTAAATAAAGCTGCAATAAATATAATTTTGTGAGAAGAAAAAAAAAGTGGTAAGTGATTATAACATTAAAAAAAAATAGACAGTGAGTAGCCACACAAATTAAACATGTTGCTGAGAAATTCTAATTAGGCAAAGGAATCTTTCTCCAACCCTAAAGTGGAGTTTCAGACGTTTTTGTGTTCAATAAAAGTCAGCAGCTACAAAAACTGTAGCTGCTGACTTTTAATAAACACACACTTTCCTGTCCCGGGGTCCAGAAATGTTCTCACCCACAGCTTCACTTCTCTCCTTCTGTACTCCACGGTGCCGGCATCTCTATTATGGGCACCAGGCTGTGACAGCTTGCGGCTTCACAGCCTGGTGCCCACTGCGCATGCTTGAGTCGCGCCACACCTCCTGATTGGTCCAGCAGTCTCCTGAGACCTGTGAAAGTTCCCAATAGACTGCGGGAGCAAAGAGGGGGCCGAACTTCCAGGTTACTTTGCCGTGGCGAACTGAGCCACAAGTGGGAGCAGATACCTGTCATAACCAGGTACCCACTCCCTCCTCCCCCCCAAAAGGTGCCAAATATGGCAGTGGAGGGGGGAAAGAAGCAAACAAGCGGAGCTTCCACTTTTGAGTGGAACTCCGCTTTAAGTGAAAGGATGGGAAACACGTTTGTAGCACACATTTAACAAGCACTCGTATACACTGTGTCTGCGACTTATACATTGAAATTCAGCTTTAATTCAGCTCAAATACCTTAGGGTGAATTATAATTCTGTTCACTTGAAAAAACATTTTTCCATCTTCCTGCTTGCTGAGATCGTATTCTCCAACAACAACTGTCCAATGCAATTCATTTACATCCCTAAATTGCACATAGAAAATACACACATAAGAACATGACAGTGTGACTTTTTTGAAGTGTCATAAATAATTTCAGTAATCAGTGCACATTGGGTAAACTCAATAGCAGTGCAAATTGTCACAAATAGCAGAGTTCAGATCATAATATTGCCTTATACTTATTTTGGTAATTTTCTGTTTTGATTTTTTTATTCTACTACATTGTCAAGCGATCACATGACTAAACCAAAGTTAGCTATATTGCTCAACAGACTTTGCAAGAGCTGCTTTAGGTTCTAGCAGTATTTCACGTCTGGTGCACATTAGTGCGGGTCATGAGGCCCACATTTGATCAGGCACGGCAGCCTATTCATTTGAATAGAGTGCTGTGCCGTGTATCCCGCACAAAATGGTGCATGAACCTTTTTAAAATTGTGGCCGCAGGGAAACCACATGGTCTTTTTGACCCCACGATGTACGGGGGTGCCCTTCGCATCTGGCAAGAGCAGCGTGATTCGGCTGTGTGTGGTTGAAGAAATGCAATTCCTGCACCCGCAACCAGGACACACAATACAGGCTAGTGTGAACCTAGCCGAGTGTAGTCATGTGTAGGGAAATAAAAAATATAGAATTGGCTCATGATTGGATGTCTGATGTGAACATTGGTTACCTTACTGCATTTCACACTACTTCACACCTTAATAATCAGGCCTTTTGATTTAGTGGTACATATTCACATACACTATATTGCCAAAAGTATTGGGACACCCCTCCAAATCATTGGATTCAGGTGTTCCAATCACCTCCATAGCCACAGGTGTATAAAATCAAGAACCTAGGCATGCAGACTGCTTCTACAAACATTTGTGAAAGAATGGGTTGCTCTCAGGAGCTCAGTGAATTCAAGCGTGGTTCAGTGATAGGTACCGCACCTGTGCAATAAGTACATCCGTGAAATTTCCTTGCTACTAAATATTCCTTTGTCAACTTGTCAAAGTGGAAGCAACTGGGAATAACAGCAACTCAGCCACAAAGTGGTAGGCCACGTAAAATGACAGAGCGGGGTCAGCACATGCTGAAGTGCGCAGAAGTTGCCAACTGTCTGCAGAGTAGAGTCAGTAGTTAAAGGCCTCCAAAACTTTGTGTGGCCTTCAGATTAGCATAACAGTGTGTAGAGAGCTTCATGGAATCAGTTTCCATGGCTGAGCAGCTGTATCCAAGCCTTACATCATCAAGTTCATTGCAAAGTGTCAAATACAGTGGTGTAAAGCATGCCACCACTGGACTCTAGAGCAGTGGAGATGTGTTTCTCCAGAGTGATGAATTGCTCTTCTCTGTCTGGCAATCCATTGGATGTGTCTGGGTTTGGCTGTTGCCAGGGGAATGGTACTTGCCTGACTGCATTGTGCCAAGTGTAACGTTTGGTGGAGGGGGGATTATGGTGTGGGGTTGTTTTTCAGGGGTTGGGCTTGTCCCCTTAGTTCCAGTGAAGGGAACTCTTATGGCATCTACATACCAAGACATTTTTGGACAATTTCGTGCTCCCAACCTTGTGGGAACAGTTTGGGGATGGCCCCTTTCTGTTCCAACATGACTGCACACCAGTGCACAAAGCAAAGACCATAAAGACATGGATGAGCAAGTTTGGGTTGGAGGAACTTGACTGGCTGAGTCCTGACCTCAACCTGATAGAACACCTTTGGGATGAATTTGACCGGAGACTGCAATCCAGGTGTCAGGGATCTCTCCGATCCCCGCCGCGATGGTCCCGGCGCAGGCGCAGTGCACCGCCCTGTGCAGGGGACATGGGTACTAGGTCCGGGCCGGCCGCGGCGTTCGAGTTCGCGCATGCGCAGTAGAAGCCGCGGCCGCCCGCTGGGCACCATGAGCAAGCGCAGGGCGGGATATTTAAATGGCCCTGAGCTGTCATTCAGTGCCTGGTCTTCCCTGCATCCTGTGAACCTGTGAACCTGTGAATTGTAAGTTGTGACCCGGATTGTACGTGACCTTGCTGTTTTCTCCTATCCTGACCCTTGCTTTGCCTGACCTCTCTCTCTCTTGAATGCCCCCTGATTGGATTTGACCTGCTGTTGCTGACCTGGCGTGTGACCCGACCATTCTATGCCCGCTGCCCTTGTACCTTGCCGTCCTCTCTGTTACCGACCCGGCCCGTCTGACCTTGCTCATCCATCCATCCATCCCTTGCAGTGGGGTCTTCTGACCTCCTCACATCAGACTCTTTCCCGCGGGAGCCCTTGGCGCATACCACTACCACTGCCGGACGCACCCAGTAGCACGACCTGGTCTCGGGGGGCTCCAAGTCCATCCCCACCATCAGGGGCCCTGGTGAACAAGCACCCTGGGATTAGATTCCGTGCGCTGGGGACGCCTATTCAGTGGAGTGCTAGTGGTACCGCCAGGCGGTCCCCTTACAGTACCAGAAGGCCATGACTGAGTCTAGAGGAGGGCCCTCGCCGCTTGAGGAGATCTGCAGGCACTTGTCTAATTTGACTCAGGCCGTATCGGCCCTGCAGGGATAGATGCCAGCAGATTGAAAACCCAATTCCAGACCTGCACTATATCCGTTCCTGCCCCACAGGCCGCGGTCCCCGCACCCCAGCGTAGCAGCCCCTGTGCTGGTTTCTGGGGCTTCCGCACCACTCCGGCGGCCGACCCCCGAGTACCCTTACCGGAACGTTTTCACGGGGACCGCACACGCTTCAGGTCATTCCGTGAGTCCTGTCTTCTTTATTTTGAGTTACAACCCCGGACCTTCGTGACTGAATCCATGAAGGTGGGGTTCGTCATCTCCCTCCTGCAGGTGGTGAACCCCAAGACTGGGCCCACCGATTACGGGGAAAAAATGACCCTCACCTTAGTTCGGTTGACATTTTTTTTGACGCCATGGCCATCCTGTATGATGACCCGCAGCGGCAGCTTCTGCTGAAGCTACTTTGTACACGCTCCGGCAGGGCCGCCGAGCGGCGGAGGAGTACGCGTCTGAGTTTAGGCGCTGGATGGGGGGACACACGCTGGAACGAATTCGCACTCCTGCATCAGTTCCGTATAGGCCTATCAGAAGGTCTGAAGGATGGCTCACCCGGGTGGAGGTGCCTGAGACTTTAGAGGACTTAATAGCACTGACCATTAAAATTGACCGTAGACTGCGGGAACGCAGGTTTGAGAGGTCCGGCCAGGGTCAAGGAAATTCCTGGGGGTCTTTTCAAGGTCCCAGTCAAGCACCTAGGCCAAACGTCCAGAACTGGCCACACTGGAGATATCCCTGAACCCATGCAACTCGGCCTGGCACGGCCTAAACTATCTCCAGAGGAATATCAGCGCAGACGATCCCAGAACCTGTGCCTTTACTGTGGTGAAGCTGGCCATATGGTACGATCCTGCCCGCAGAAACTGAGTAAGTGCACCTCTTCTTCCTTATCCATTGGCAATGTTGGTCCATACCAATACTTAGTGGTGCCCCTTTCCTTTCAGCTTCCAGAAAGGACCCGTGGAAGATCGGCCATAATTGATTCGGGGGCATGCAGCTGTTTTTGGACATTAATTTTTGCTCACCAACAGGGGTATTCCTCTCCAATTTAAACGGAAGGAGGTTCAATATTTATTTGGCCGACGGTTCCCGAATAAAATCGGGGGGTAGTGGAACCCAGGAAACCCCCTCCATCACCACTGTCATTGCCGGCCAGCACCAGGAACTCCTTCGCTGGACGCTATAGCTACTCACACCCTCTTCCCAGTCATTCTGGGGCTCCAATGGTTACGGGCACATAACCCCCAGATTGACTGGGAAACCGGAGTAATCTCGTTCCCTTCCCCATACTGTCGGGTATACTGCGCACTTCGGGTCCCGGGGATCCCCCAAATTCTCTCCTGTGCCTCTGAGGGGGAGTGAAGCTGAACTAAAACAAGTAATCCCCGCAAGTCTTACATGGGTTTCTATAGATGTGTGTTTTCAGCAAACGGGGAGCGATTCTCTACCCCCCACACCCTTATGACTGTCCCATTGATCCTGTTACCCGATGTTCAGAGAAATTCCTTTTGCGGGCGAATCTATTCCCCTTTCAGAGCTCGATTGTTACTGGGGACCCTAAAGGAATATCTCGATGACAGTCCTACCAGAAGGGGTTCACATCCGCCACATAGAAACCCACTTCACACCGGCGGGGGCGGGAATTTTCTTTGTTGAAAAAAAGACTCAAACCTTAAGGCCGTGTATAGATTACAAGGAATTGGACAGGGGTCACGATTAAGAACGTTTACCACAACTGCCGTTAGTGCCAGATAGTTGTTCCAAAGTTTTAAAAAAGCAGCAGTTGGTGTTTTTACAAAGCTGGATTTGAGGGAGGGGCGGATACAACACTTTGGTTCGCATAAGGGAGGGGGACGAGTGAGAAGAGGCAACTTCCGCACCCGCTTCGGCCCATTTTGAATAATTTGGTTCATGGGCCGTTCGGGTTGTGTAATGCTTCCGGCCACGTAAAAAAGGCCCCTTTTCAAACACTTTGTGAATGATATTTTTTTAGAGATTTGCTGGATGTCTCTTGTTATCGTTTATTTAGACGGACATTCTGATTTTCTACCCTTCTTTGGGGAACACAGAATACATGTAGCAAAGGTATTTGGGGGCGATTTGTCGGCATGTAGCATGGGTTGTACGCCATAGGCTGAGAAGAAATGTTGTTTTGAACAATCCACGCATTGCCTTTTTGGGCCTGATATATCCACCACGGGATGGTACGCGATGGATCCCCAACGAAAGTCAGCGCGCAATACTGGATTGGGCCTGAACCCACGGACAGGAAAGGGCTCCAACGATTTGGGGTTTTGCGAATTTTTAGCCGGATAGTTCATCAGAGAAACTTCTCGGGTCTGGTCTCACCCTTACTCAGTAACCACAGCTTGGAACTCGGTTCAGATGGGACACCAGAGGCGCAGGAAGCTTTTGCAGTCCTTGAAGAAGCTGTTCACCTCGGCACCCATTTGGGGTCACCCATCACGACGCCGCCCTGGCCCTACTATTAGGAAGTAGATGCATCAGAGAATGCGGTAGGAGTTCCATTCCTCTCCCAGCGGAAAGGCACCAAGGAACTGCTCCATCCTGGTGCATTCTTCTCTCACGGAAGCTTACCCCAGTCGGAGAGAGAATTATGATATCGGGGGATCGAGAGTACTGGCGATCAAGACGGCGTTAGCAGGAATGGAGGTACAATACTGGAAGGTGAGCGGTTCACCCCATCTTAATATTTACTGACCACAAAAACCTTGGAATATCTGAGAACCGCAAACGTCTTCGCCGCGACAGGCACGGAGATGGGCACTATTCTTTTCAAGATTCAACTTCCACATTTAGTGTCACCGGCTGGATCAAAAAACACTAAGCCGATGCGTTATCACGTATAATGTCGAGGTCGGCAAGGAGATCCAGCCTGTACCAACCGACACACCATCTGTCCTCGGGTAACTTTTGGCCCTTCAGGCCGGTACCTTTGTTTCCAAGCTAATGGAGGGCATCCACAACCATCTCTTACCCCCAGGCGGAGGGCCCGCTCCAGAAACAAGGGGGGACTATCTATGTGCGAGGGAAGATCGAATTGTGGTGCCGGAGGAAGCCCGAACCCTGGTCTTGGGGGCATTGCCATGACCACCAAAAAACGATGGCGGGGCACTTTGGCCCAGAAAAGACCCTGGAACTTCTCCGACGTCATTCTGGTGGCCGCGGACATGGCTAAAGATTGTCGTAAGGGCTATGTAAGGTCCTGTATAACCTGCCAGAAGAAAGCCAGCAAGACGAAACAAGGTTTGGGGTCTTGCTGCGACCCTTACCGATTCCTGAACGGCCTTGGCAAAAGATCTCGTTAGATTTTATAGTCGACGCCTTCCACCATCACTAGACCACGAGAAACGGCAATTCCTGGTGGTCGTGGGACCGCTTGTCCAAGACTGGCCCACTTCATCCCGTTTGAAGAAAACCCCCCCGGCGGGCCGAGAGACTGCGCGCGAGCCTTTCATTTCGTGAGGTAGTAAGGCTGCATGGGGTCCCCGAAGACATTGTCCAGTTCACGTCCAGATTTTGGAGAGCACTGTGCAAAGCCCTGGACATCAAATTGTCTCTACTTCCTCGGCGTTCCACCCCTCAAACTAACGGTCCCCAAACCGAAAGGACCAATCAGGACCCTAGAGCAATACCTAAGATGCTACACTTCATTTACTCAAGATGAGACTGGATGCCACTTCTTACCCCTAGCGGAATTTGCGTACAACAACGCCCTCCCCACTCAGCGACGGGACAGTCCCCGTTCTTTGCCAACTATGGCTTTCACCCAGTCTTCCTCCCGGATTTGGTCACGGAAATGCCAGTACCAGCAACGCAAAGATGTGGTGACGTTCTTCTCCGCGAACAATAAGAAGCTTCAAGAGCCATCAGTGGGCCCCAGGAAGACTACAAGAAGGCATTCAATAGGAAACGGAGAGGAGATCTGGTATTGCGGCCTGGGAGAAGGTTTGGCTTGCGACGTCCAATTTAAAAAATGCTTTGCCCGTCAAAGAAATTGGGACCCAAATTTATAGGCCCCTTCTGCATTTAACGGATGGTTAACGAAGTGGCCTACGAACTCGTCCTTCCTGACACGCTCAAGATCCATCCAGTCTTCCATGTGTCCCTGCTGAAGCCAGTAGTCCCTGATGCCTTCCCTGACCGGGAATCTAGACCCCCGGAAGCCATAACGGTCGAGGGAGAAGAAGAATTTGAGGTTGAAACAATCCTGAAGTGTCGAAGGAGGGGAGGGCCAGACCCAATTCCTTATCAAATGGAAGGGCTATGGCCCTGAGGACAATTTTTGGGAACCAGCCCATAATGTCTCCATGCACCCAGACTTGTCGGGAGGTTTTTTTTCGCGATCACCTGTGGTGGAGAGATCGGGTGGGCATCCGGAGGTTGCCCGTAGGGGGGGGGCAATGTCAGGGATCTCTCCGATCCCCGCCGCGATGGTCCCGGCGCAGGCGCAGTGCACCGCCCTGTGCAGGGGACACGGGCACTAGGTCCGGGCCGGTGCGGCGTTCGAGTTCGCGCATGCGCAGTAGAAGCCGCGGCCGCCCGCTGGGCACCAATGGCAGCGCAGGGCGGGATATTTAAATGGCCCTGAGCTGTCATTCAGTGCCTTCTGGTCTTCCCTGCATCCTGTGAACCTGTGAATTTTAAGTTGTGACCCGGATTGTACGTGACCTTGCTGTTTTCTCCTATCCTGACCCTTGCTTTGCCTGACCTCTCTCTTGAATGCCCCTGATTGGATTTGACCTGCTGTTGCTGACCTGGCGTGTGACCCAACCATTCTATGCCCGCTGCCTTGTACCTTGCCGCCCTCTCTGTTACCGACCCGGCCCGTCTGACCTTGCTCATCCATCCATCATCCATCCCTTGCAGTGGGTCTTCTGACCTCCTCACATCAGACTCTTCCCCGCGGGAGCCCTTGGCGCATACCACTACCACTGCCGGACGCACCCAGTAGCCGCGACCTGGTCTCGGGGGGCTCCAAGTCCATCCCCACCATCAGGGGCCCTGGTGAACAAGCACCCTGGGACTTAGATTCCGTGCGCTGGGGACGCCTATTCAGTGGAGTGCTAGTGGTACCGCCAGGCGGTCCCTTACACCAGGCCTTCTTGTCCGACATCAGTGCCTGACTTCACAAGTGTGCTTCTGGAAGAATGGTCAAACATTCCCATAGACACACTTCTAAACCTTGTGGACAGCCTTTCCAGAAGAGTTGAAGCTGTTATAGCTGCAAACGTTGGGCCAACTCAATATTGAACCCTATGAACTAAGACTGAGATGCCATTAAAGTTCATGTGCGTGTGAAGGCAACCGTCCCAATACTTTTGGCAATATACTGTATCTATCATGTGGAAATACCTGATGCTTCTGAAGGCTTATATTTCATATGTCTTAGTTTCAGATGCTTTCTGCATGTGCTCAGATGTATTTGGCATATACCTATATGTATTTATTTTCCAAATATGTTTTTTTTTCAGTAATGCACAACTGACAGGAAGCTAGCAATCAGACAAAAAAAAATGTTGACACTACTTAATAAGGTGGAATGGTTTTTATAGGCAAACTGTTAAAAAAATCTAGAGTCCTATTAAAAAAAACACAGGTCTGTAGCTTAGTGGTCAAGTAAATCAAGTAATTTAATTATGATATAAAAGATTAGAAAATTAATTCCATACCCATTAAAGCAATGTGCAGCTGTAAGGACCCATGCATCTCCTATCAGGACTCCTCACACATGAGCTCACCATTAAGTCTAATGTTAACCAACCACGGCCAAGACCCTGGTGAGGTAACACTCCTCCAATTATACGACCTTTGGGACAGTGCTGTTAATGACAGCTGATATAGTCTGTCCACAGGTCACTGATAAAAGAAAAAAAAAAGGAAAATGGAAAGCTCAAATGATTATTTCATTCTGGCATAAGACATATTTAATACTTCACATAACACCAGAATCTTTGCTGCTGAAAATTCAGTTAAACATGAAAAAATAACAAATATTAAACATATTGTAGTCTACAAGATCTCAGCCTCTTGACTGGAGGTGCATAAGAGATGAGCTTAAAGCATTACTAAACCCACAAAAGTAAAATCAGTCTGTATATGCAGCAAGGCTTGTTATACTCACAGTGGAACTTAAGGGGTTAATCCTCTGCATTGTGTAAAAAGGCTGTTTGATCCTGTCTTCCTTGATGCTTCCCTTTATCCACAGACCCAAACCCATCTACTGATAGAACAGAGCCTTGGGGGCAAGCTGCATATGCTCAGTTTAGTGTGTATTGCTAGAGTTTTTTTTCTTGGAAGAGTGCATGTGATCAGCACAGGGTCAATCAACACTGTCCAGACAGAGGGTCAGTGGTCCTGCAGTCTCATAGGACAATGAGAGGAGAAGGAAAACTCATCCTACAAGCTTTAACATGTGTTCTGCTGAACACTGATAGAGGTCACAAGACTGCTATATACTGCTGATGAGAGCAGGTATTTAGCAGTTTATATTTACTAAAATAATTGCATTTCTATGTTCTGTGTACTGTGGAAGACCGGATATAGTAAATACAGGTTTAGTAACACTAATTTATAGGTTTAGTAATACTAGGTTTAGTAACACTTTAAACTAGAGCGACTGAGCCTCTTCTCATTCTCATTTTCCACAACAGGGTATAAAAGGAGGAATATGGAGAAGCCTTCAAATGTCATAAGCAGCTCTCCTTTCCACAATAGGTCATAGGTCAATAAGACATTAGTCAAACGTACACATCTGATAATTAACAGCTCTAAACCATCCTATGCAGTTTTAATGTTTAAATATAACATTTTATTTGAAGGCTAAAAATAGCAGTTTTAGGTCAATTTTAGCTTTAGGTTTATAAACTGGTATTTTCTATTATTATTTGTTATTATTTTTATACACTTTGTATTTTACAAATAAGTATTGATACAAGGTGCTTCGATGGTTAACGTGCTTGTAATCCCATACATATACCCAGTGAAGTGACTGGCTTCAGGTGATACACAGATATTAAATAAATCCTCCTACATAAGCTGTACCTGTTTATTTGCAGCATTCTCTTCTCTACATTCCTTGAAAGTGCTGAATTTATAAAGCTTGTCTTAGAATTTAAAAAAAAAGTGTCGGAGAGCTGAAGCTACACTCTGCAGAGCTCAGCGAGGAGAGTTCTGAGAACTGATTGGAAAGAAGAGACACCCCCTCCACACAGGAACAGAGCTGAGGCTGTCAGTCACAGTATGTGTGCTGAAGGTCCACTGTCACCATTTTTTTCTTGGTGTCAGGAAAGCTTGTCAGAAGTAACTCATGCTGATAGCAGAGGAATGAAGCAGCAGATACAAATGATACTTAGGGCTCTAAACACACACTATAGAGCAGTGGTTCTCAACCTTTCTAACGCCGCGACCCCTTAATACAGTTCCTCATGTTGGGGTGACCCCAACCATAAAATTATTTTCGTTGCTACTTCAGAACTGTAATTTTGCAGTGGGAGGAATAGTGCCCCATCATTGGTATCAGTGGGAGGACTAGCGCCCCATCATTGGTATCAGTGGGAGGAATAGTGTCCCATCCTTGGTATCAGTGGGAGGAATAGTGCCCCATCACTGATGTCAGTGGGAGGAATAGTGTCCCATCGTTGGTATCAGTGGGAGGAATAGTGTCCCATCATTGGTGTCAGTGGGAGGAATAGTGTCCCATCATTGGTGTCAGTGGGAGGAATAGTGCCCCATCATTGGTATCAGTGGGAGGAATAGTGTCCCATCATTGGTGTCAGTGGGAGGAATAGTGCCCCATCATTGGTATCAGTGGGAGGAATAGTGTCCCATCATTGGTGTCAGTGGGAGGAATAGTGCCCCATCATTGGTATCAGTGGGAGGAATAGTGCCCCATCATTGGTATCAGTGGGAGGACTAGCGCCCCATCACTGATGTCAGTGGGAGGAATAGTGTCCCATCATTGGTATCAGTGGGAGGAATAGTGTCCCATCATTGGTATCAGTGGGAGGAATAGTGCCCCATCGTTGGTATCAGTGGGAGGAATAGTGCCCCATCGTTGGTGTCAGTGGGAGGAATAGTGCCCCATCATTGGTATCAGTGGGAGGAATAGTGCCCCATCGTTGGTATCAGTGGGAGGAATAGTGCCCCATCGTTGGTGTCAGTGGGAGGAATAGTGCTCCATCATTGGTATCAGTGGGAGGAATAGTGCCCCATCATTGGTGTCAGTGGGAGGAATAGTGCCCCATCATTGGTGTCAGTGGGGGGAATAGTGCTCCATCATTGGTGTCAGTGGGGAGGAATAGTGCCCCATCATTGGTGTCAGTGGGAGAATAGTGCCCCATCATTGGTATCAGTGGGAGGAATAGTGCCCCATCATTGGTGTCAGTGGGAGGAATAGTGCCCCATCATTGGTGTCAGTGGGAGGAATAGTGCCCCATCATTGGTGTCAGTGGGGAGGAATAGTGCCCCATCATTGGTGTCAGTGGGAGGAATAGTGCCCCATCATTGGTATCAGTGGGAGGAATAGTGCCCCATCATTGGTGTCAGTGGGAGGAATAGTGCCCCATCATTGGTATCAGTGGGAGGAATAGTGCCCCATCATTGGTATCAGTGGGAGGAATAGTGCCCCATCATTGGTGTCAGTGGGAGGAATAGTGCCTATCATTGGTGTCAGTGGGGGGAGGAATAGTGCCCATCGTTGGTGTCAGTGGGGGGAGGAATAGTGCCCCATCGTTGGTGTCAGTGGGGGGAGGAATAGTGCCCCATCGTTGGTGTCAGTGGGGGGGAATAGTGCCCCATCGTTGGTGTCAGTGGGGGGAGGAATAGTGCCCCATCGTTGGTGTCAGTGGGGGGAGGAATAGTGCCCCATCGTTGGTGTCAGTGGGGGGAGGAATAGTGCCCCATCGTTGGTGTCAGTGGGGGGAGGAATAGTGCCTATCGTTGGTGTCAGTGGGGGGAGGAATAGTGCCCCTATCATTGGTGTCAGTGGGGGGAGGAATAGTGCCTATCATTGGTGCCAGTGGGAGGAATAGTGCCCCATCATTGGTATCAGTGGGAGGAATAGTGTCCCATCATTGGTGTCAGTGGGAGGAATAGTGCCCCATCATTGGTATCAGTGGGAGGAATAGTGTCCCATCATTGGTGTCAGTGGGAGGAATAGTGCCCCATCATTGGTGTCAGTGGGAGGAATAGTGCCCCATCATTGGTGTCAGTGGGAGGAATAGTGCCCCATCATTGGTGTCAGTGGGAGGAATAGTGCCCCATCATTGGTATCAGTGGGAGGAATAGTGCCCCATCATTGGTGTCAGTGGGAGGAATAGTGCCCCATCATTGGTATCAGTGGGAGGAATAGTGCCCCATCATTGGTATCAGTGGGAGGAATAGTGCCCCATCATTGGTGTCAGTGGGGGGAGGAATAGTGCCTATCATTGGTGTCAGTGGGGGGGAGGAATAGTGCCCATCGTTGGTGTCAGTGGGGGGAGGAATAGTGCCTATCATTGGTGTCAGTGGGGGGAGGAATAGTGCCCCATCGTTGGTGTCAGTGGGGGGAGGAATAGTGCCCCATCGTTGGTGTCAGTGGGGGGAGGAATAGTGCCCCATCGTTGGTGTCAGTGGGGGGAAGAATAGTGCCCCATCGTTGGTGTCAGTGGGGGGAGGAATAGTGCCCCATCGTTGGTGTCAGTGGGGGGAGGAATAGTGCCCCATCGTTGGTGTCAGTGGGGGGAGGAATAGTGCCCCATCGTTGGTGTCAGTGGGGGGAGGAATAGTGCCCCATCGTTGGTGTCAGTGGGGGGAGGAATAGTGCCCCATCGTTGGTGTCAGTGGGGGGAGGAATAGTGCCCCATCGTTGGTGTCAGTGGGGGAGGAATAGTGCCTATCGTTGGTGTCAGTGGGGGGAGGAATAGTGCCTATCGTTGGTGTCAGTGGGGGGAGGAATAGTGCCCATCATTGGTGTCAGTGGGGGGAGGAGGAATAGTGCCTATCATTGGTGCCAGTGGGAGGAATAGTGCCCCATCGTTGGTGTCAGTGGGAGGAATAGTGCCGCATCGTTGGTGTCAGTGGGGGAGGAATAGTGCCCTATCATTGGTGTCAGTGGGGGGAGGAATAGTGCCCCATCGTTGGTGTCAGTGGGGGGAGGAATAGTGCCCCTCATCGTTGGTGTCAGTGGGGGGAGGAATAGTGCCCCATCGTTGGTGTCAGTGGGGGGAGGAATAGTGCCCCATTGTTGGTGTCAGTGGGGGGAGGAATAGTGCCCCATCGTTGGTGTCAGTGGGGGGAGGAATAGTGCCCCATCGTTGGTGTCAGTGGGGGGAGGAATAGTGCCCCATCATTGGTGTCAGTGGGGGGAGGAATAGTGCCCCATCGTTGGTGTCAGTGGGGGGAGGAATAGTGCCCCATCGTTGGTGTCAGTGGGGGGAGGAATAGTGCCCCATCGTTGGTGTCAGTGGGAGGAATAGTGCCCCATCGTTGGTGTCAGTGGGAGGAATAGTGCCCCATCGATGGTGTCAGTGGGAGGAATAGTGCCCCATCATTGGTGTCAGTGGGAGGAATAGTGCCCCATCGTTGGTGTCAGTGGGAGGAATAGTGCCCCATCGTTGGTGTCAGTGGGGGGAGGAATAGTGCCCCATCGTTGGTGTCAGTGGGAGGAATAGTGCCCCATCGTTGGTGTCAGTGGGAGGAATAGTGCCCCATCGATGGTGTCAGTGGGGGAGGAATAGTGCCCCATCATTGGTGTCAGTGGGAGGAATAGTGCCCCATCGTTGGTGTCAGTGGTGGGAGGAATAGTGCCCCATCGTTGGTGTCAGTGGGGGGAGGAATAGTGCCCCATCGTTGGTGTCAGTGGGGGAGGAATAGTGCCCCATCGTTGGTGTCAGTGGGGGGGAGGAATAGTGCCCCATCGTTGGTGTCAGTGGGGGGAGGAATAGTGCCCCATCGTTGGTGTCAGTGGGGGGAGGAATAGTGCCCCATCGTTGGTGTCAGTGGGGGGAGGAATAGTGCCCCTATCGTTGGTGTCAGTGGGGGGAGGAATAGTGCCTATCGTTGGTGTCAGTGGGGGGAGGAATAGTGCCTATCATTGGTGTCAGTGGGGGAGGAATAGTGCCTATCATTGGTGCCAGTGGGAGGAATAGTGCCCCATCGTTGGTGTCAGTGGGGGGGAGGAATAGTGCCGCATCGTTGGTGTCAGTGGGGGGAGGAATAGTGCCTATCATTGGTGTCAGTGGGGGGAGGAATAGTGCCCCATCGTTGGTGTCAGTGGGGGGAGGAATAGTGCCTCATCGTTGGTGTCAGTGGGGGGAGGAATAGTGCCCCATCGTTGGTGTCAGTGGGGGGAGGAATAGTGCCCCATCGTTGGTGTCAGTGGGGGGAGGAATAGTGCCCCATCGTTGGTGTCAGTGGGGGGAGGAATAGTGCCCCATCGTTGGTGTCAGTGGGGGGAGGAATAGTGCCCCATCGTTGGTGTCAGTGGGGGGAGGAATAGTGCCCCATCGTTGGTGTCAGTGGGGGGAGGAATAGTGCCCCATCGTTGGTGTCAGTGGGGGGAGGAATAGTGCCCCATCGTTGGTGTCAGTGGGAGGAATAGTGCCCCATCGTTGGTGTCAGTGGGAGGAATAGTGCCCCATCGATGGTGTCAGTGGGGGAGGAATAGTGCCCCATCATTGGTGTCAGTGGGAGGAATAGTGCCCCATCGTTGGTGTCAGTGGGAGGAATAGTGCCCCATCGTTGGTGTCAGTGGGAGGAATAGTGCCCCATCGTTGGTGTCAGTGGGAGGAATAGTGCCCCATCGTTGGTGTCAGTGGGGGGAGGAATAGTGCCTATCATTGGTGTCAGTGGGGGGAAGAATAGTGCCCCATCGTTGGTGTCAGTGGGGGGAGGAATAGTGCCCCATCGTTGGTGTCAGTGGGGGGAGGAATTGTGCCCCATCGTTGGTATTAGTGACACCTACTGACACCAATGATACTTACCTTGCTGACCCCTGCTCCAGCCTGGGCTCGCTCTCTCCCTCTCCCATCTACAGCCTGCAGAAGCAAAATTTGCACTTACCTGTCAGCTGTCTTCCTTCTCTGGCCTCTCTCCTCTTCACTCGGTCCTGCAGCTCCCTCGATCTTCTTCGATCTGCTCGCTCTGCCGCTCGGCTCCTCCTCTCCAAGCTCCACCTCCTCGCCGGTGATTGGCCGCCTGTGTGCCTCTCCTGAGCTACAGTTCCGGTGGCCAATCAGCGGCGAGGAGGCGGAGCTGTTGAGTGATCCTGGAGGTGTGGCCAGGTTACAGGGGCAGCATATCATCCCGCCCACAGATCGCGAGACAGAGCAGCGGTGTCTCGGTTCCTAAGACCATCGGAAATATGTGTTTTCCGATGGTCTTAGGCGACCCCTGGGAAATGGTCGTTCGACCCCAAAGGGGTCGCGACCCCCAGGTTGAGAACCGCTGCTATAGAGGGATATGCTTTGTTCATATTTTATGTATGAGGTTTACAACCACTTTAATTTGTTTAGTAAGAAAACTCAACAGTAGCCTTTTAAATGCTCCTGCAGGCTGAAGGTGCTTTTTTACATCTGACTATAACATATCCATAAACTATATGGCAAACTCTATACCAGGGGCGGACTGACGATTCGAGCACTCGGGCACTGCCCGAGGGTCCGGGGTCAGTAGGGGGGCCCATGAAATGCCCCTGGTACCTTTTATAGGCTTTTTTGGGTGTGCTTTGAGTGTGGGCAAGGACACAGGGGCCCCATGATCCCCTATTGCCCGGGGGCCCATGAGTTGTCAGTCCGTCCCTGCTCTATACATTCCTTGTACAAACATTTAACTCAATTAACAACAATTTAAAATTGACTGTAAGCTCCCAGGAGCAGGGCCCTGCTAACCCTCTTGCATTGAATTGTATTGTAACTGTGCTGGCTTACTTTAAAGTGCTGCACAAAGTCAGCACTGTATAAATCATGAATACTAATAATATTAACTATTTTAGTCTGTATACAAAAAGAAAACTGTATTCCACCATGATTTTCTGTGTTCCATTTAGATGTTTACAAGATGAACTGTCTTATACTTACTTTCTTCATCTGGTGAGTCACTGAGATAATCCATGTCACTTTCCAATTCTGTATAATAAAATAATGAATAGGATAAAAAAGAAATTGTAATAGCACCAAAAAAAGTTAGATCAGGAGGAAAATTAACAGAATTTCCTCTTTTTAAAACAAACATGGGTTTATGGGACTGAAGTAAAATATATTCATCTTAATCATAATCTGTTTTCAGATTCACCCTAATAAAAGTTAGGTCTAGATACAGCATGTAAACTGGAGACCCAAAATACTGTATCTATGCATTTTTTTTAATTTCCTATCGAATGCATCTCCCTTCCTATACTACAACAAACTTTGTTTGAAAACTTCTTAGCCATTAAAGTTACCATGATGATGGGATGAGGAGCAAACAAGCAAGCATAACTGAATTACTATTAGGGTTGGTTCTCTCCACCCAATGGAGCATTGGCCTTGTTAATATTGTTTTCTTTTGTAGAGTATATTTTACACCCTTTTTCCATTCTTCACACATTTTCTGGCACCATGTTTTTTTGGAGCTAATGAGCTATTATTGGCATAATATTTTCTTCATGTGTATAAAGAACAAACACACTGAGCACTACTAGGCAAAAATGATAAGAGAATGCATCTGAAAAAAGGAAGTTCAAAGACCTAATCAGGTCAATATATCCACTAGGAGGCAGCTTGTGATTAAAGCAGGAGGTAACCTTGCATATAAGTCAAGGGACAGGGAAAACAAATGCCATCTAGGTGTAGTATTAAAATAACCTTTTAATAATCAAAAACAATTGCACTCATAAAGAAGGTACTGATCAAGGCATGTGTAACATAAAGGTGGTCATCAGTCCCGGACCGCAGGACAGGGGCATATTTACCACAAGGCAAACAAGGCAGTTGCCTAGGGTGGCATTTTTTGGGAGGGCAGCACTGCCCCCCCAGAATAAGGGAGACACGTGACATGGGAACCAGATGGGATCCGAGAGAGGCTGCAGGCTGTGAGAAGGTGTATGCAGAGCCCCAGCTCTCGTTCCCAGGGATGTCCAGAGCTGTGCAGGTCAGTGTCTTTCTCTCTCTCTCCATGGGGAGGGAGGAGTTTGGTGGACAGTGTATGGGGGACGGTAGGTGGGGGGGGGGGCAGGGGTGTTGTTTGGTGAATGTCAGGCTCTCTCTGTGAGGGGGGGGGGTGTTCATTGGCATCAGGCTCTCTCTGGAGGGGGCACCAATTTATGTGTTGCCTAGGGCAGCACAAAGCCTAAATACACCATTGTTGCAGGAGATGGAGGCTGTGAACCCAAATGATGGCCTGAAGAAGGAGCGCATGCTCCGCAACGAGTTGCCATCTTTGATCTTCAGTTCCGGTTATGACGTCACTTCCGCCTGCCATGCTGCATTCCACACCGACCAGGAAGCCCTGGTAGCCTCCAAAACATATGCCAGCTGGTTCACAGCCTCCGTCTCCTGCTGTCCGGGAGCGGCACAGATGACCACCCTTATTGTTACACATGCCTTGATCAATTCCTTCTTTATGAGTGCAATTGTTTTTGATTATTAAAAGGTTATTTTAATACTACACCTAGATGGCGCTTGTTTTCCCTCTCCTATATTTTCTTCATGGTAACTTTCTTTTATTGATAGAATTTTTTAGAATTAGGATTCAGTTTCATTTTAGGGATTAGGCTTGGTGGTTAACTTAAGGTTGGGCTTAGGGGCATGCTTTAAGATAAAGGTTAGGTTAAGAGTTACAGCTAAGAGTTTGATTTGGGTTAAGGGCTAGGTTTAGGGATTGGGTCAGTTTAGGAGTTATGTGGAACTAAATCCTCTTATCTTTTGAAGCCGTCTTAGCCTCTCTTTGATCTGCAGTTACCATGGTACTGCACATGTGATCAGCTAAGCAATTATCTATTTGATGGCTTGACATTTTATTTGAGAGCTAACATAAGCGCACTAGTAACTGGAACAGTTATTATTTAAGGCATGCCTTGAATTTAACTGTTTAGGGAAACAGTTAAATTGGTGGATTTTATTCTGCTTTAGGATCAAGGGGTATATAAAAGAGGAATTAAACCCTCTTATTCTTTTCAGCCAAGGAAGCTACCATCTTAGCCTCTGTTTGATCTGCAACTGCCATGGTGCTGCACATGTGATCAGTTATGACACCAACAGGGGCGGACTGAAAACTCATGGGGCCCCCGGGCAATAGGGGATCATGGGGCCCCTATGGCCTTGCCCAAACTCAAAAAAGCCTATGAAAAAGGTACCAGGGGCATCTCATGGGGCCCCCTACTGACCCCGGGCCCTCGGGCAGTGCCCAAGTTTCCAAATGGTCAGTCCGCCCCTGGACACCAACCATTTGATGGTTTGACAGTTTGGTTCTGAACACAAGCAAATGTGACAGTTAGCATTCCTGGCTAAAAAAAAAGTAACTGTTTTTTTTTAAAACCATTATATCAATGGGTTTTGTTCTGCTTTAAAGTGGTATTAAACCCCAAAACAAAAAGTAATATATTGCAGCTCACCAATTCATAAATACATTTAAAAAAGCTGAAAATTGTAAGCACCTCTGTCAATGTGAAATGGGTTGCCTTAACCATCAACCTGCCACATTGCTAGACGGCTTGGCCTGTTGAAGGAAGAAATATAACAAAAAAGGAAGCAATATAACAGATTTACTGGTTGAGTCAGTAGATGAAAATAAAGGAAAAGCCTTAAAAAGGAAACTACATCTAAAAATTGTTATTCTGCAATAAAATACTTTTTTGTTTTTGGGTTCATTACCACCTTAAGTCTTAAATGTAGGGGATAAGATAATGGAACCTTATTTAGTTATTATTTGGGGGTGTAATACTTTGCACCAAAACAATTGCATCTAAAATTAATCTACCATGCAAAGGCTGAGAATGATTACTTTAACACATTATGGAAACTATATCAACTTTCCTATGGTGGTCCAAATGCATTATAGAAAAACTATTTGCTTTAACAAATCATTCTTACTGCACTCTTGCAGCTTGAGATGGCAGTGTCCAGCCATAGCCTTGATGCAAGCTTGTGATGTGCTGTTCACCTCTGAGCAGAAGCGCTGATAAAAGCCACACAGTTGACTCAATGACCAGCTCCTTTCCACTGGATCAGCTTCATTTTCTGCAGTCAGCAGATCCTCACAGGTTGGCTCCATCTCTGCTGCTTTGTCTTTTTCTGTAAATGGCCAGAGCAAGTGTTGTTCAAACAGTAAATAAAGTGTTTGTACCTTATATCATCTTTCCTAAAAGAAACATGGAGGCTACCTATGCTAATCTGCCTCTGAGAATGTTAGCTGTCTGGCTGTCATTATTATTATTATACAGGATTTATATAGCGCCAACAGTTTGCTCAGCGCCTTACAATATAACAGGAGACAATACAGCAACAGTACAGTTCAATACAAGAGGAATAGGAGGGCCCTGCTCCTCGGAGCTTACAATCTAGGAGGGAGGGGCTAGTGGTACAAAATGTAGTAACTGTGGGGGATGGACTGGTTGGAAGAGTAGAAGATTCCATTATTAGCCGATGGCAGGATAGGCTTCCCTGAAGAGATAGGTTTTCAGAGATCGCCTAAAAGTGAGCAGAGTAGGGGATAGTCTGATAAATTGGGGTAGAGAGTTTCAGAGGATAGGGGAAGCTCTGGAGAAGTCCTGGAGACGAGCATGGGAGGAGTAGACAAGGGAGCTAGAGAGCAGGAGGTCGTGCGAGGAGCGGAGAGTACGGTTTGGGTGATATTTAGAGACAAGATCGGTGATGTAATTTGGGGCAGAGTTATAAATGGCTTTACACGTTATTGTTAATGTTTTGAATTTTATCCGATGGGCAATGGGAAGCCAGTGGAGGGATTGTTAGAGAGGGGTGGCAGATACAGAAAGGTTAGTAAGGTGGATGAGTCTGGCAGCAGCATTCATGATAGACTGAAGAGGAGATAGCCTGCGATGAGGTAGGCCAATGAGGAGGGAGTTACAATAGTCAAGGCGAGATATAACAAGGGAGTGAATAAGTTGCTTAGTAGTTTCCAAGGTTAGGAATGGGCATATCTTGGAGATGTTGTGGAGGTGAAGTCTACAATATTTGGACAGTGATTGGATTTGGGGGTGAAAGGACAGATGGGAGTCTAGGATTACACCTAGCACCCTGGCATGAGTGGAGGGACTGATTATTGTGTTACCGATATTTATGGTGAAGTAAGTGGAGGTGGCACAGGCTGGGGGGAATACTAAGAGCTCAGTTTTGGAAAGATTGAGTTTGAGGAAGTGGAGTGACATCCATGCCGATATGTCACTTAGTAGTTTAGTAATGCGAGAGGAGACTGAAGGGGTGAGGTGAGGAGTAGAAAGATAGATTTGTGTGTCATCAGCATAGAGATGGTACTAAAAGCCATGGAAGTATATCAAGTGACCAAGGGAGGACTTGTAGATGATAAATCTCTTGTGTCAATACTTTCAGTCACTAACCCAAAACAAGACTTTCTTGACCTGTATATTTCTTCTGAGTTAGTGTCTCAAAAAGTATTCAGATCAGAGGGCCAGCATAACAACCAGGAACTAGCACGTTCAAAAGGGGGTCAGCAATGGTGCATTGGTGGTATATTAACACGTATACACGTGGTTAGCCTTCAAAAATTGTACTCATTGTACATAACTGTTTATGGTAAAGTCCAATGAAGTGGTTGGAACGTGTAGTGAAAAGAAAATGGTAACTACAGAACTGAGATTGTTAAAAGGCACAAGTTAAAGTACGTACCAAAAGCAGCAGGCTTTATGTTGAGATTCAGTGGTTGATGTTTTTGAGGGTAGATTCAGTAAACGTAGTAAAGATAACTCATGATTTAATAAAAATAAAAGATAGTTGGAAATTTTAGGAATTTTTAGGAAATTTTCCGTTCAAAGCAAACGGAAAACGAAAGGTGACTGATTATTTGGCCGAATTCTTGGCCTCACTAAAAAAATCTCTCAGGTCTCAGGGAACCCCTGCCAATACTTACAATATCTTTACCTAACAGTATGTAAAAACAAATATTGAGCTAAGATATAATTATAAATAAAGAATAAGGAATGTGGTACACTTAGTTTGTTTGACACCCATGGCCGCTTTACACTACAATTATTTTCAGTAATTATATTAACCAGAAAAGAAACACAGACAATTGGGGTGTTCTCCCACATTTGTGGTCAAGAGGAATTGCCCCTTACATTGGTGGTCAGAGATATACCCCGTTACACTGGTGGTCAGTGGAGAAGGGCCTCCTTACACTGGTGGTCAGAGGACAAGAGCCCTATTACCATGGTGTTTAGTAGAGTATGGCACTATTACACTAGTGGTCAGTGGAGACGGGCCCTTTTACACTGGTGGTCAGTGGAGAAGGGCCTTCTTACACTGGTGATCAGTGCATAAAGGCCCTATTACACTGGTGGTCAGTGGAGAAGGAATCCTTTACATTAAAGGTCAGTGAAGAAATGTCCCCCTTACATTTGTGGTCAGAGACGTGCCCTTCTACACTGGTGGTAAATAGAGAAGGACCCCTTACACTGATGGTCAGTTTAAGAAGGACTCCCTTAGATCGGTGGTCTTTGGGAGAAGGGCTTCATCCAAGTGATGGCCAGTGGGAAAAATGCTACTTACAATGATGGTCAGTGGGAAGAATGCTCTTTTGCAGACATTGGTATTAGTAGTTAATACATTGCTTACTGTTGAAACAGTCCCTAGCAACATCTGGAGGAACCCGAAGGTTCCATGGAACCTCGGTTAAGAAATCCTGAACTAGACAATAAAATGACCTCAGCAATAATTTTAAACCCAAACATTCTATATTTAGCAGAAGAAGTAAATGACATTTAACAAATAGAAGTAAACTAAAATTAAGTGTGACACTCATATTACACTACTTTCTAAAATCATGTTATAATTGTATATTCATTTTTATTTATTTGTGTATTGTTTGCTTTATTTTAATAGTATTGTTTTTTATGCACACCCCTTAATAACATGCATACAAGGCTTGTGTTAATTAAGATTTCACACTGCTTAGTTCAAATTTCCTGATGTCAGAATCAGGGGCGGACTAACCATTTGCAAACGCAGGCACTGCCCGAGGGCCCGGGGTCAGTAGGGGGCCCCATGAGATGCCCCTGGTACCTTTTTCAAAGGCTTTTTTTTAGTCTGGGCAAGGACACAGGGGTCCCATGATCCCCTATTGCCCAGGGGCCCCATGAGTTGTCAGTCCGCCCCTGGTCAGAATACTACCACAGTGCCACACTACAGAGACAGCTTTATAGTTTATACACATATGGGAACCAAGCCAGTCAAGCACTCACAAGACATGAATGGATCAATGCAATTTGCTACATAAATACATACACTATCCTATATAGAACCCCAAACCAGTTCTTTATACAGCTACATTTATATATTACATCATTTTTGATAATTTTGCTTGTGATTGAATTGTTTTTTCTTTGTAATAAACAGGTTTTTATAAAGGTAATCTTCAATTATGTCAGAGAAAGACATTAATATTGAAAAAAAAGCAAACACATCTTTGTCTTGGTAGGACTGTGTTCTCATAGTGTATATAACATGACTGTGAACATTCTACCCAAGCAGATTTTGAAGAGGAACATCTTAATGACACCACTAACCTCTACATGGTACGCTGAGACTGGTACATTCTGGGAAGAGGCAGAGAACGCATCTTTGACACTCCAGCTGACGACGATTGTGCTCTTTAACTGCCCCCTCCAGAGCCTGCAGAGCTGTTTTAAGGGCTACTTCCAGAATTAAAGTTCCCTTGTTAGACAAAGCTGTAAAAAAAGAGAGATATTTAGTTACTCACCAAACATTTACTATAGAGCAGACAACTGAATTTGCTGCATATGGCCAAATTCCCATTGTGACATGCCAGTGCCAAATTGACTTGCTTTTATCAAGATATTGACATTTCTGAAAGCTAGCAACATTTTAACCAAAAGACAGAGAAACAGATTTAATTGTTAATTTCTTTTTAGAAACAAAGCATTGCACGTTGTTCTCCATCAATGAAAACAGAAAGTTTGGAGTTAGTGATATCATTTGTTGGCTTAGAAATGGAATTAGTACAATTTTAAATTTTCTGATCTTACAAACTCATGTGTATTATTGCCTCCGTTTGGATGAATGACAGTACAGTCTGCATACCATAGTTACAATTACAGTAACTAGTAATTAGTAAATGATCTTTTGAGGAAACATCAAAGAGGAAGAGCTAGATAGCTTGTGTTCTACCCAACACTGATTCAACTACTGCACCTGCTCTGAAGGACTCACCTTGCAGCACGCTGGCTGGTAATCTGTATTGCTCCTTACTTACTGGAGCACAGTCAGTCTGTTGTAGAGCCAGGAATGACATCATGAACACAGTCCACCAAAGGAGCTGCATTGTATACTCCCCAATTCTCTCACCGAGGATGTGCGAGCTAAAAGTTTCTGAGGCTTGTTATTCTTCTGTAATACCAGACTTCAGATTATTGTTTTTTTTCTCAAGTGCCTATGAGCGTGGCCCTCTTGTAATCACCACTTTGTCTTTGGCTCAGTCTATTATTCTCTCTTATATAGTCTATGCCCCTGCTATTGACTCAGTCTCTCTCTTTACCTCTGTCTCTCTGCATGCACTGTTCTGTTTATGTGTTTTCACTCTCTCCTCTGCCTTTGTCTCACTGCACCCTCTTCTGAAGTTGACAGTTGGACAATACGCAGCATGGTTAGTTGCGCTGTATATGTCCAGGACCACAGGAGGGGGTTGTGGGGAGGAAAGGACAGTTCCCAAGCGTTCTGATAAACTGCTTGATTCATTAATGCTTTGACACAGATGCCAGGACAGGAGGAGGCGGTGGGAGGGAGTCTGTAGACTGGATAGGGTGAGAAAAGAAGGGTTTGTGTTCATTAGCACTAGGGTTGATCTTAAGCCTTGCTACATCATCTCCCGTTATGAACAATTGTTCAGACTGTACAGTAAATGCGCTCACCCATGTAACACTTTGTCTTGAATAACTTCAGAGTACTGCTTTGATTAATGGCCTAGGCAATAACTCGGAACCTTCTTAAACACAATATACGTTTAAAAAAATATGTAAAGAGTCATTCAAACATAAGTATATTCAAAGTCCATCACATCTATTAGTGCATATATAGGATGAGACTTAAGGCTCTGTGTACCATTTTTGGTGGGAGTGCTTCCGGATTCACAGCTTCTGGAATGGAATCTTTGCCTTGGTGCGTAGGGTCACGGGAGTATCGGGTTCCTCAGGCGCCCCACATTGCTCTGTTAATGCTTCAATGGAAGGTGTTCCTCCCAACATCCAGCATTTGATATTTTTTTTTATATTTTTGGGGGCAAGAATGACCATCGCTAAATCTTGGAGGTGTTCCTATGTGTCTCTGGAACAGGCAAATAAGAAAGTAATGTGGATTATGTAGCATGAAAATATGGTCAGTATTTTACAAGATATGGTTACAAAATTTGAAAAGACATGGAAGCCATAGGCCAGATACATTATATGTATGTTTGCTTTGTAACCTAATGGTTTTTTTTATAACTTTGAAGATGATTGTGATTTGTCCAGATGTCTTTTTTTCTTTTTTCCTTCTCTTCCACTTATTTTCTCCTCTTCTTGTTTCCTGTTTTTTTCATCCTGGCCCCCACGGAACCTGAGGATACAGTCAAATGTCCGTGCCAGGAAGTATAGTCCCTTTGAGATATGTATATGCTCCTACCTGCCTGGGGTAGCTAGTGGACCAGAGGTTATGCCCGAGTCCAAGATTTATTTCTCTGATGTACTGCTACTAGGTGTTTGGTTAATGCTGTATTTGTCAGTGGAGAGAAGAACACTGCTTTCCTATATTCTTTGCTTATGTGTGCATTTGGCAATTTTTGTACAATTATTGGATTTCTCCTTATATATGAAAACCAATAAAAAAATATTGAAAGTAAAAAAAATTTAATTACTATGTGTCTTTAAAACTAAAGTATGGACCCAAATTATTTTTGTACATTTTTCATTGTAAAAATAAGTTACCTCTAACAAAATTTGCCCCATGTCTGGCTGCTGCAGCGTTTGTTATACCTTTTACTTTTGGTTGATACCCAGAGAACTTTGGAAATAAATTAACATGTTAAAGCTTATATTAAGTTTAGGTCAACTTTAAAGAATGTGTAAAGCCACGATTAAATGATATCAATGGTCACATACACTTTCACTTTATAACATCAGCATTGTAATAGCAATACAAATGATTGTTATTACTTACAATCCAAAGCTTACTTGAAAAATCTCCCTTCATGTTGTAAGTTCTGCCTGTCTGCTGATCACCTCTTTCCACAACTTCCTTTGCAGCTCTCCTCTGCTGTTTACTTTCAATTTCCAAGGACTACATATCCCATGGTACCTTGCTGCCTGTAAGCAGTGATTCCTCCTCCTGAAACTCCTCCTCTCTTCTCCTCTGTAGTTCAGAAGGCAGGCTCTGTGACGCCTTCTCATCTTTGATGAGTAGCTCCATCTCGATTGTTACGTCTGAGGTTTCAGTGAATACCTCTGGGAATGGAGGAGCACGTGACCTCCTCCCAAGATGCAGTACTCAGGCCTGGGAGGCCAATCACCCGGCCTGAACATTGCCACCTGATAGAGAGGAGAACAAAATTAGCCCAATTACTCATTATTTCAGGGTTTGTATTAAAGATACAGACAATGAATGCTGAAAGTCCACATAAACTCTGTAACAAATCCTCAATGTGTCAACAATGTTAAAATCCCCCTGAATCAATGATCCAAATGTATCACAACAATAATGTAACTATTCATCCAAATAGCATGTGAAACATCCAAGTGAAAGTCTGAATAACTTTGTATAAGAAAGTTCCCTTACGTCCGAGTGAGAGGAGCAGAAAAACAAAATCACCACTAGTGAGGAACTTTCACCTTCAGCCTCTCACCTGACTATTACACCTACTGAACTTCGGTCTAACCGCGTTGTTAGCCTATTCTCCCTGGGTTAAGGGGATATCCTCCGGATATATGGGTCCTCCAAAGTTTTCAATGAAAGGTCATACATATGAGGAGAGAAAACTCACATAGTGTGTACCCATATAAAAGATTTATTGAAATAAACTAAAAGCAAACACTCACAAGAAATGTGCACATGCCTGATGCACTACAGATAACAGCGGTGTCAGGGTAATGATATTTATGATTGCTGCAGCTGATGGAAGCTCCATATGAGAGGTTACTGTGCTCCCTACCCTCTCATCTCCTGATCTTGTCCTGTCACTGTGATCCATGTAATCCCGCCGGCGGTGAAGCGGTATGTCAGTGTATGAATGTCACTCACTCCACTGTGCACCCTTAAACGTTACACCTTCATGGTTTCGTCAGAGGCTCTTGGACCCTCTGATGAAGCCATGTAGGCGTAACGCGTAAGGGTGCACAGTGAAGTGAGTGACATTCATACAGTAGTAAGTTCAGTAGGTCTAATCATCAGAAGAGAGGCTGAAGGTGAAAGTCCCTCACTAGTGGTGATTTTGTTTTTCTGCTCCTTTTGAACACTCGGACAGAAGGGAACTTTCTTATACATACTTACTGAGACTTTCACTTGGATGTTTCACGTGCTATTTTAATGAATAGTTACATTATTATTATGATACATTCGGATCATTAACTCAGGGGGATTTTAAAATTGTTGATACATTGAGGATTTGTTACAGAGTTTATGTGGACTTTCAGCATTCATTGTCTATAGCACTGTCCTGTTTATTTTATTGCTGTTCAGATATGTGGTGGGATCATATGAGGACCAGGGGCAGACTGAAACTCATGGGGCCCCCGGGCAAAAGGGGATCATGGGGCCCCTGTGTCCTCGCCCACACCCAAAAAAGCCTATGAAAAAGCCAATAAAAGGTACCAGGGGCATTTCAAGGGGCCCCCTACAGACCCTGGGCACTCTGGCAATGCCCGAGTGCTCAAATGGTCAGTCCACCCCTGATGAGGACTTAGCAGCAGCTGAATATCTTGTTCATTTTTTTATATATTGGTTTTTAGCAGAATTGCGTACAGGTTGCTTTTATTAAAATTTAGCATTAAAGATGTTTTTTATTTTCCTGTGACAAATAAAGAGATGCTTGCTAAAACCAATGTTTTAACAAACTTGCCATGAGTTCAGACTGAACAGGTTATTTGACTTGTGTCTCCTTTAATGTAATATATTAACACAGTTTTGCAAGTGGCTGAATTTTTGACAAATGTAACTTTTTAGGCTTCATGCACACCAGGGTTTTTGATAACGCTGGTAATGTTAACTGTGTAAATTCATGTTAAAAACATGAGTTTTTCAGCTTTTCTTTATTCCTCATGCACACTGGACGTTTTTACAGCGGCTGTTTTTGGCTTTTGACGTTTTTTTCTACAGCTGGTAAACCCCCCCAGCATGTTATCCTATGTGCCCATGCACACATAGACTGTAATCAACTTTTTTTGGCTGGGACATTTTTTGGCTGGAAAAAAAAACAGAACTAGTGGGTATCTAGAGGAGGTTTTTTAGCTGTAAAAACGCTCTGATTTGGACAAGGAGTAAACATTGTAAGAATTATGAAAATTTAACAAGCAGTCTATGTTCTGGGCGTTCATTCCTGGGCGCATACTGCCCTAAACGCTTAGTACCACTCAGTGCACCATTTAGCCCTGGCCAGCCACAGCAGCTTTCAGCCTCTCAGAGTTTTACAGGCTGCC